ATCATGACCTGAGCCGAAGTCAGATGCTTAACGACTGAGCCACCCAGGGGCCCCAACAGTGTAATTTTCTTAACATAAAAAATGTATTGGTTGTCTATATCCAAATTTTAAGAGTAAGGGAAACAATATTAGAAGGATGAAAGAGTAGAAGATAGTTTAGTGGTTTAAATTTTAGTGGTCTAAAATTAAAATTAATTATTTGAAGTTGATTTGTTGCTTTTAATTTTTTTGTATGTGAGTTAAAATTTCTTTATTCACTTCTCTAAGCAAGAGAATTATGAGATTGGGGCATCAGAAGGAGGCTTCCTGATTTAATGACAGGGAAAACCAAGTTGATAAATCTGTTAGAATCTATAAAGTTCAGCAAAGTTGCCGATGTAAGAATAATTTAGAAAAATCAGTAGCATTTCTTTACACTGTCAGTGACCAAAATATAAGCAATAAGACTCACAATTGCAACAAAACATCAGCATAAACAGTTTTTCCATGATTTCAGTGATGTAGATACTGCTTTGAATTACCTGTAAATTGAACATCCAGTCTTAAAAAGCGTTTTTTACTAGACTCTTTTAGTAATAATATTAGAAACATGGATGCTCGGTGGTTCTTCCCTTGAAAGTACATTGCCATGTTGCCCAAATAGGCAAAAACATTTTTTAATTACATAAAGGACATTGTCATTTTCTTTAGGTAAATCCAGAAAAAAACTTCAGCTTTAAAATGGCATGAACTTCTTTGTAAACTAATATAAATGATATTTATGAATTCAGGACCTTTAAAAGTATTGCTGATAGCTAGTGTTTATGATTGATCGAGAATAGAATTTAACTTTGGGTAAAACTTGATTCTGTAACTGTTTTCTAAAATTATTAAAACTTTCTAGTGGTATGTTAGTGTTATAACTTAAGAGATTTATTTTCCTGAGGAACTAACTTGATATTTTATGAATTAGCAGCTACAAATTTTTAATATAAAAGACATGCTATCCTTCTACCAGCGTTAGTGTACTAAGCCTCCACTATGTGACGAGTTATTTCAAGCAATGGAGATATTGTGATATTAATACAAACAAAATCCTGAAGAAACATAATTCTAGTGGAAGGAAATTTTTTTACACATTGCAAGCTAATATTACACTTTAATTTACAGCTTATTCAAAATAGCAAAGAAAACTTTTCTTTGAAACAGAATATTCAGGAAAGAAAAACTAATCCATTCCAACACTTTTATACTAAACATCATTAAGGAAATCCAGAGATAAAACTTGACATTTCTCTTTGTAGGCTCTATAGGAAGCATTTTATCAATGTCAAAAGTTTTTTAACAAATTTTAAAAAACTTTTTTCTTGTTTTGCTCATTTAATGGTTACTGATACTTTAGATTAAAATAATTTAACTTAGAGGCTACTGTTTTTCAAGGTAAAATATAAGCAGCATAATTGTTTTGAAGACCCATTTTTGTTTAAACCTAAAGCCACTGTTATTTTCAGCAATCCAATACAAAGTTTGTCAGTTGTTTTCTTCTGTATCATTTACTAGTGTTTGTATTGAGTAAGTTTTGATTTCTAAGATTCTTATCTATATAGAGATAAATCATTATCCTGCTTTATAATTTAATACATTTAATTTTTGTCAACTAAAAAAAATTAATTATTTGATGAATATATGACATATATTATTCAGGATACTTAGAACATGGACTAATTTTTGCCCTCAAATCCCACCTCTCAACTTTCTAGCTGTGTAACCTCAGACAAGTCACTTAAATAGTTTCTTCATCTATAGAATGGGGACAACAACACCTACTTCACAGTGTTGTTGTGAGGATTAAATGAGTTAATATATGTAAGATCTTGTAACAGTGCCTAGCATGTAGAAAAGACTATATGGTTTAGCTATCATTTAGTCTTTTTGTCCTTAACAGAATGCAGGTATACAGGCATTTCTTTAAATTTAAGGCTTGCTCAAGTCAGGTATGCTTAAGTGCTGACATTGGTTTCCTGTCAGCAATTATTTTCTTCTTTGATGTTATACAGTTACTATTTTCATATGCCCATGTAAGAACTATATTTAAAGCTTATTGTTGTTTTTGTTTAAATTTAAACTTAAGTTCTCAAGCAGTGCATTATTGGTAGAAAAATACATACATATTTTTAAAGCTCTTGTCCTCTTAAACTTGCATGAAAGTATTGGATATTCGTATGTGATAAAAAAAAGTTTAGGGAAAAAACAGACTGAAATAGTGGTTAAAATTTCTAATTATGCAAGGTGAGGACTGGGTTGAGAAGAAATTCTTAAAGAGAACTTCACAGTAATCTTTACTGGCTTGTTTAGAATAGAAAAATTATGAAATGTCAATAAAGGAACTTAAAATTTAAAAACTAATATTCTACTTTTCTGAAGTTCACATATTTGCTAGAATCATAACATTACCTTTTTTTTTATAAGATTTTTATTTATTTGACAGAGCATAAGCAGGGGGAGCGGCAGGCAGAGGGAGAGAGAGAAGCAGGCTCCCCACTGAGTAAGGAGCTTGACATGGGAGGATCCTGAGATCATGACCTGAGCCGAAGTCCAACGCTTAACTGACTGAGCCACCCAGGCGCCCCATAACATTAGCTTTTAATAAGGTTTTAAATTTTTGATTTTGAATTGGAGCAGATAAAGTCTCAACTATATAATTTTTAAGAATTTTTATAGAAAATTAGATAGTTTTTATCCTTTGCTAAGTCCTATTAGGATATTTTGTGGAAATAAACTTGGAGTACATTTTAAAAATAATCTCTGTCCTCTAGGCCGAGGTTCTTTTTTTTTTTTTTTTAAGATTTTATTCATTTATTTGACAGAGAGAGAGAGACAGTGAGAGAGGGAACACAAGCAGGGGGAGTGGGAAAGGGAGAAGCAGGCTTCCCGCGGAGCAGGGAGCCCAGTGCGGGCCTCGATCCCAGGACCCTGGGACCTGAACCAAAGGCAGATGCTTAACGACTGAGCCACCCAGGCTCCCCTAGGCAGAGGTTCTTATGATCTCTTATGGAAGATAAAATAAAACCAAAATACATTCGTTAAGACAGACAAAGAAGCATTTGTTATCTGCCACAGTAATAGATAATGGGTATACATGCATAAATGTTTAGTTTCTGAGGAAATGTTTCACTTTTCATTTAAAAGAATTTTTAAATGGAGTGTGTGAAGAAGAAGCCAGTGTCATTTTTAGAATATTCCCCTCAACTTAATGATAAAATAAATTAATTGTCTTACCTTCTGGCGGTATTGTGTATTTGACCTGTGCTTGGAATCTAAATGTATATCTTCAGGAATATAGTGGAATCTTATCATAATACAAACTTCCCTTGTTCTGATCTATGTATAAAGTGACTCCTTGTGGACCTCGTACAAAGAGGTTGATACAGATAAAATAGCAGAAGGACCAGTCTCCTTTTTATTCATAGCATGAATCCCAAAAATATTTTGAATTACTGTCCCCATTTTATAAATGAGAACACTGGTCTCAGAGTCTGGAGTAAGAAAACTTAAGTTCTGGACCTAGCACCATCAATAAGTTAATTTGTGATCTTGGATAAGTCACTGTTTTACTCTGGATCTAAATCTTCTCATTTTCCGTTACTGCTTTATAAGCGTAATGATTAATAACATCTGACTTTTTGACTCTTTGTCCTTTTTTCATTATATTTTGCTGGCTTACAAACAAATTTTTTTAACTTATTTCTTGGTAAAGGCCAAGATGGATTCACAAGCACTGTATTTTAATTCTAAAATTTCTAATTTGCATATATCTATAGTTTAATAGTATTTCAACTTGTGATTTTCAATTTCATAAATAATTTTGAGGACTTACCATACACTTAGCAATGAAAGCAATGCAGTGACATGGAACACTAAGCCTGCTTCTCATACTTTATGGTTTCACCTCTTTGGGTCTCCATTTCCTCAGTAAGAGAATTAAATTAGATAATCGGTGATGTCCATTTTGACTCTAAAATTTGTGATTCTTAGAGATGTAAGAAGACATAGATACGTTTGGTTTTTTATGATTTTATTTAGGGAGAGTGTGCATGCATGCCCGAGCAGGGGGAAGGATGGAGGGAGAGGGAGAGAATCCCAAGCTGACTCCCTGCTGAGCATGGAGCCCAATGTAGGCTCGGTCCCAGGACCCTGAGATCATGACCTGAGCTGAAATCGAGAGTTGGACACTTAACCTACTGAGCCACTCAGGTACCCCAGAAGACCTAGATACAGTTTTTAAGTTTGATGTTTGTTTAATGGTAAGGGCCAATGATAGGCAGAGAAGGTTTCTTCCTAGTAGATTGGTGGTGTTTGTAAGAAGTGGAAAAAAAAACCCCACAATTTTTTAACACTGTATTTTATTTGATAGGATAAATAGATGTTAATGCTATAAAAAATAAAGCAAAACAGCTCAGTAGAACAGATAAATAGTTTCCTAACAAAGAGAACTTTTGGAAGAGGGTGGAGATTTCCATTTGTAATATGCGATCAGACAAATACGCAAGATTTGAAGAAAAGATGCCTCTTGTGTGGTAAGGAAGAAATGAGAATTTATGAGACCCTTTAAGATTCTACAGCAGAATAGTTAAATCAGCTTTCTGTGTTCAGATCTACTTTTTCTGCTTGGAACTTAAACAGGAAAAACTGAATAGCAAGTTTAAATTGCTTTATTTATTGGCACAGCTCTATCTTTAACTGCACTTCCAAATGTTTCATCACCTCACTGTTACTATGCATGTTAACATTTTAAAATGTATTCTGATAGTTTTCTAATTCACTACATGCTATATTGGCTTGTGCCCATCATTATTTAAAAACAGATTTCTATTTTTAATAGATTTTATTTCATTGAGCTTACCAAAAAAATCACAGAATTTTTTTTTACTTTAAGCATATGTTTAGGGTATGGTTGACATTAATACTATTTTTTTCATGTTCATATAGTTCCTACTCTTCATAATTTTTCTTTTTTACAGATATTGATGATGCTCAAATACTTCCCCGCCCAACTAGAGTCAGACATTTTTCACAAAGTGAGGACACTGGAAATGAAGTTTTTGGTGCTTTGAATGAGGAGCCGCCATTGCCTCGAAGTAGCAGCACTTCTGACATCTTGGAACCATTCACTGTTGAACGAGCCAAAGGTGCAGTTCCTGTCATTGACAGTTCATCCCGTCATGCACCAAGCTTGCAGAGTTCCACAGAGGCTTCTTCAATAACTAGATCCACTGAAAGCCACATCACTGATACTCATAGTAGAGAGTCTTCTCTGGAAGTTGGTGATAGCATATATGACCATCTTTGTCACTTAATAGATCCAGTAGAACTTGCAGATTCAGCTTTTGAACAAATCCAGTACATTGACCTTGAAGGAGATGACGATCTTCTTTCCTCCCTGAAAGAATATTTTAAGGAAAACCAGGAAAATCATAGTAAAAATGAGTTAGGTAAAGATGCAGCTTCTGAGGAAGTGATTATTGCAGTAAATAAGGATGAACGATCATCTTTAGATAAATTAGAATACATAGACCAAGAAAGTAAATCAGAAAATACCGCCTCTTTTGTTGGGACTCCTGAAAACATTCAGTTTCAAAAAGAACCAAACTCAGCTGTCTTCATGGGTAGTATTGCACCTAACCAGTTAGACAGTTTTGTGAGAACAAAAAGTTATGAAAAATCTAAGGAACTAAACAGTGATAAACAATCATCAGAACCTAATTCAGGTAGCCCTTGTGATAAAGAAAAAAGGAAGCACCTGTATAGACAGCCAGCCACAGAATTAGATGCCTGTGTAGATATAACACTAGTCGAAAAGGTTAAGGGTGTGCAAATTAATGAAAAAATCACTGTCCCACATGTTATGCATGCCAAGAAAACTACACTAAAAACACCTGTTAACCATAGACTGCCTCATGTTACAAACACTAGCAAGCTTTCTCCAACTAAAAGGAGCTTGTCTGAAACAGTAACTCATAGAGCCAAAATCATGAAAATTGGTACTAAAAAACGAAATACTGTTCATGTTACTTTTAGACCATCTACTGAGTCAGTTCAGTTTTATAATCCTCTGGAAAACAAAGAGGCCCCATGGAAGATGAGACTGCGGAGACTTGGTGGCTTTAGTAGTAGTAGTAGTAGTAGTAATAGCAGCACTAGCGGCGCCAGCAACCCCCATACCGGCTCAGATAGTTTTACAGAGTTAGTAAAACCTGGTGTGTACAGGCCTCTAGATACAGTTGGTACAGCATCAGTAAGTAAAACAATGAAGGAATCTACAGAGATTCCCACCACGACATTACCAAAAGAAGGAATTGCAAGTAATCAGTTAGGTAGCCGTAGTACTCTTAGGTCATCAAGTCATGAGGCAGGACTACCGCAGGGCTCCCTGGGTGGCGTTTATAAAACTGTTGTCCATGCTCTTTCGAAGCCGAAGGCAAATGTTTCCCCACAGAGGCAGAACAGAATGCCACCAGAGGCTCCACTGAGGGATCTGTACAGTCATGTAATGGGCTATTTTGGAAGGAAAGCTGCAGGTGAGCACTAACAGTGTGCAGAGCGCAAAAGGAGAAAGACAGCACCAGTTTGGCTTAATGCAACTGAAGCAAGCTATAAGCAATCAAAAAGCTTTGGGATGGTCACTGCTTTCTCTCTGTTTGGTTATGCATGCGCCTTTTCCCAGCTGTATTTTTCCCAGCATAAAATGTTTATTTAAATTACTAATTTCCCCTTATAAGGCATTTAGTTAAACCTCTTTGCTGCTGAACAAGATAGGAAAGAGGAAGATACAGGAAAATTTTAGTGACCTTTCAGAGGCTATCGAAATCAGATATTTTTCTGAGTATGAACTACATGAGCCATGAAATTTAAGTTTACTAGGTAGTTGGAATACTTTCTCCCCCTGCCCCCTTATAGTTTATATTTAAGAGGGTACTGGCTATATCTAATTGAGTTCATTATTTTTATTGCTGATTTAGTTTTATCTTTTTTCTTGGAAGAAAATTATTTTGATATTATGTAACATAATGGAAATCAAGGTCCTACAACCAGCACCAACATTTTTAGTTATTAGTGAAGGAGAAATTATTTCTTAAATCTCAAAGTGGATTTAGTTACTTTTCATGTAAGCCATTTCAAAACAAGTTGTAGGCTTTTTAGTTTTGCATTCATTTGTACAGAATGCAAGTCCTTAAAACACTTACCAGTACTTTTCTTTTTTTCTGAGATTTTAGATGTGCATAAAGGTTTCATGATAGCCAATCATGATTTAAATATGGAACCTCTATGGACAGATTACAGAAAGCAAGATTATGGTAACTGTCTTCTCTTATCTTGATTCAAATTTAAAATAACTTTACAGATATAGAAAATAAACTTTCAGCAGTAAGGTAGGTTTTGATTTTGTTTGTTTAACATGGTTTTGTTAGCATGATTAACAGAATGCTGTATAATGCATCTTGCATTGAGCCATTAATGCCACTTGAGGGCAGTATTCGACAGCTTAGCAAAGCCTGGCCAGTAATATAAAGATAATGGTATTTCACAGTGAACTCTTGACCAGTGTAATTTTCTTAACCTGAAATGCTTTTTAGTTCATTGGGAATATAAGCAATGCTGGTTTTCTTTTAATTGCAGAGAAATTAACTTCAACAGCATAATAGTAAAATGAATATCTTATGTTCTATAAGTTTTTCTCCCAAGTTTAAAACTTTCTTGTTAATGTAGTCATAAAGAAATCAAAGTAACTCTTTGGGTTTTCTTTTTACAGAAAAACCTTTGTGAGAATAAACCTCTTTTTTCTTAAAGCAATAACATTAAGACTTTGTAGTGAAGCAGAAATGACATGATTTCACAATTAGAGATTTTTTATTTATCTAAACTTAAATGCGTTTATATCCCACTGAGATGTACATAGATTCAAGGGATAGATTCCTTGTAAATATTCCTTGGGAAGAATGGAATTCTAAGTTATTAAGGCTCTAAATAGAAGCACAGAGGCAGGAAGAAAGATAAATATACCAGTTTCTTTATAGGCAATATTAACCTAACTCCAACTAGTGCTTATCTATAAGCTTTCTTGCTGTTTAAGGTTATACTGAAGATTGACTAACATCTGCTTAGTTAAATAAAATAAATACCAATTTACTAATTCCTAAAATTAAATCTAAAAGGAGAGAAATTATTCATAAATGCATGTTTGGCAAATAATTGATATGGCATAGGTGATTTGTTTTGGGTTGTTTTTGTTTGTTTCAAATTCAGGAAATGCAGTTAAGTCTTTTCTCACTATATATAGTTATTTATTTATTTTTAGTCAATAAAGAGGACATGAGCCCAAAACTGCCCCCTCTTAATAGTGATATTGGCAGCAGCAATGCTAATGTTCCTGATCTGATGGATGAGTTTATAGCAGAACGACTTCGAAGTGGTAATGCCTCAGTAAGTGTTGTTTTATTTTATTTATTTGATTTAGCAAGGAGACTAGAGAAGCTAAAAGATATATACCTGTGTGTGTGTGTTTGTAAATTTTTATTCAAAATAATCTTCCTCTAAAACTTACCCCTTTTTTGAATTAAGATTTTAAATTATACTTTTATAATATTTTTTATTTAAAGACATAAAACAAATAGGCTTATAATTTTGACCAGGGTAAAAATTAGAATACCTATTTGTTTAACCACTTAGGTATAACCCCTGCCTTCCGAGTCTTCCCTCTCTGTTTCGTCTTTGCTCATAGGTTACCTTCCTGCCCACTGCTGACCCTTAGCCAGAAAGATAACAAGAGAGGTCTTCTAACCCAACTCCCATAAGTTTGATAACATAAATATTGATTGCTTATTCATTACAGATAACTTCAGAATAGATTTTAAAGTTACGTTTGTTTTATTAGAATTATGGCAGAATGAAAATAGAAGAAATTTTACCCCTAATAATGCTTTTAATTGTTAAGGAAAGGTAAATATATGTGGAATTGCTTTTTTTAAATGGTCACATTCCACTGGATTTTTTAAAAAAGGTTTTTATTTAGGGGGGTGGAGGTGCAAAGGGAGGAGAGAGAGAATCTCAAACAGACTCTCTGCTGACCACAGAGCCCGACACGGGGCTCAGTTCCAGGATCTTGAGATCATGACATGAGCCAAAATCAAGAGTCAGATGCTCAACCAACTGAGCCACTCAGGGGCCCCTCCATTTGGATTTGAACTTGTGAATGTCTGTAGCTCCATTACATTTCCCTTTTATTTTTAGTTTAGTGTTTTCCCTTGAATGGGAAAAAATAATAGAATCATTATAAATAATCATTATAGAATAACTTCTTTGCCATCATTCTGTCCTCCCTCCACTATCTCTACTATTTGCTGCTGCTTTTTCCATTTGAATACTTCGCTCTTTCTACTCTCTTAACTTCACTCCATGGATCCTTTTGAGGCTTAAAGAGTCTTAGGCCCAACACCATATCATAACGATCTCTACTTTAGACAAACCAACAGTAATTCAGGTTATGGCTCCATACAGTTACATAGATTGTTCAGTTTTACCTCCTCCTACTTCAGACCCTAAATCTCAACGTTTATTGTGGTAATTGTCTTGGAAGCTCAAGATTTCAGATGTTTAATGAGAATTAAGTTTTTTTAATAGTAAGATGTTTCTTGAATTTTTAGACTATGACAAGAAGAGGAAGTAGTCCAGGCAGTCTTGAAATTCCCAAAGACCTCCCCGATATTCTAAATAAGCAAAACCAAATGCGCCCTGTTGATGACCCAGGTGTGCCCTCTGAATGGACTTCTCCTGCCAGTGCAGGGAGCAGTGATCTTATCAGCTCAGATAGTCATTCGGATTCTTTCAGCGCTTTCCAATATGATGGCCGAAAATTTGACAGCAAGTATCTTTTCCTATTTGAGCAATATGTTTTTTTTTTGTTGATTGTTTTCTGTTTGAGACTGACTTATGGATTATGTAACCATCACCTTCCTCTCTAATGTTACTAGACAAGTGTTCCCACATATTTTGATTTCATTTTTCAGTGAAATTCCAAAGGAAGTTTTAGGGAATTCAAGTCAGGACCACTTTATTTCACCAAACTAAAGCCCCTGAAAAAACAAAAACCACTGTCCTTTCATAAAACAAATGATATTTTAAGACCAAACATAAAGAAAGGAAAAAAAAAATTAGAGCGGACTTGACATTAGAATAAAGAACAGTCATAGCTGTGAGTTGGTGATTTGGGAACCACTATCTAGTTAAGTTCAGTGCTTCAGTATGTTCGGTACAGTTATGTTCAATGTTCCATTACCCAGAGCCTTTCTTGAATAATCACTTCATGTTAAAATGATAGCATTGATATTATTTGGTGCTGTATCACTCCCACATAGCTTTTCTGCTATAATTCTGGGTTACACTTGGCAGTGAAGAGTACCAAAATTTAAAAAAAGAACATGAAAACCTTGGGAACCAAGTTAGTGAAGAGCTGGGAGATGCATTAGAGAAACATGTTTACTGATTTCATGGATTATATACTACTCTGATCTCAGAACGGAATATATGATTTAAGACAAAAATGGTTTTTACCACATATGTGCCATTTTTATTATATATACCTGTGCTAGAGATTATAAAGTTCTTGAAAAGCATATTACCAGCCATCAGAAAACCTGGATAAGTATTGTGATGATACATCATATGTGTCTGTTTTTTGTTTTTATTGTTGTTAGTAATAAGCTATGAGAACCTTTAAAAATGTGTTTCTAATTATAAACTGCAAACAGTTAACATTTGCACTTGTCTGAGTGGTATGTAAATAGAATAGATTTAAGGGGAATGTTAATGTTTAATCATTTCGCTGAAGTAGCTTTATTTCTCTTTTTTTTAAAGATTTTATTTATTTGAGGGGCACCTGGGTGGCTCAGTCGTTAAGCGTCTGCCTTCGGCTCAGGTCATGATTCCAGGTCGTGGGATCGAGCCCGGCATCGGGCTCCCTGCTCAGCGGGAAACCTGCTTCTCCCTCTCCCACTCCCACCGCTTGTATTCCCTCTCTCGCTGTGTCTCTCTCTGTCAAATAAATAAATAAAATCTTAAAAAAAAAAGATATAAACATAAAGATTTTATTTATTTGAGAGAGGGAGAGGAGAGAGCACGAGTCGGGGTGGGGGGCAGGGACAGAGAGGGAAGCAGACTTCCTGCTGAGCAGGGAGCCTGACTCAGGGCTTGATCCCAGGACACAGGGATCATGACCTGAGCCTAAGGCAGACGCTTAACTGACTGAGCCACCCAGGTACCCTGCTTTGTCTCTTTTGTAAATACTTTTGTTTTGTAGTTGAGACTTCTGTGTACTAGCATTTCTTCTTCGTTTAGATTTTGGCTTTGGAGCTGATGCTGGGATTACATCCTCTGCTGATGTGGATTCAGGTTCTGGTCATCATCAGAGTGCTGAAGAACAGGAAGTGGCTAGTCTAACCACACTTCAGATAGATTCTGAAACAAGCAGTCTTAATCAGCAAGCTTTCTCTGCTGAAGTTGCAACGGTTACTGGTAAGGTTACTTAAGGGAATGTCTTCCTTAAGTGCATTTTTTAAGCCACCAAAGAATCTGTTTAGGATTTTATTTGATAGGTTTTAAGTATTACTTATTAGAGTTTAAGTATTATGTTTTCATTCATCTGTATGTAACAATGGAGGGAAAAAATGCATTAATATAAGAGTTTCTTGGGCGCCTGGGTGGCTCAGTTGGTTAAGCGACTGCCTTTGGCTCAGGTCATGATCCTGGAGTCTCGGGATCGAGTCCCACATTGGGCTCCCTGCTCGGCGGGGAGTCTGCTTCTCCCTCTGACCCTCTTCCCTCTCATGCTTTCTATCTCTCATTCTCTCTCTCTCTCAAATAAATAAATAAAATCTTTAAAAAAAAAAAAAAAAGTTTCTTGACCTGGAGTCTACATGGTAAGTTTCAGCGGACTAGCTGAACTCCTAATATTGTGTGCAAAATTGTATATATGTTTCCATCACTGCATTTCCTGTAGCAATTTTTAAATAGATAACCAAAAAATGGTTGAGAAGTACTATCCTCTTTTCACTGTCTTTCAGATTCAGCCCAGATTTTTATAGATTTTTGACAAAATATTTATTATAGAAACTGTAGAGAATACTGCCTGATAGAAGGCCTATTTATCAATATACTAATATTCTATATTTATACAGTAAATTATACTTTTCAGAAAATTTTTTATGTGGTCAAATATATGATGAGTAGGATCTAAGAAATTCAGTCCTGAAATGCAGGGTCACATTACTGTAAGATTTGGGTAGTGACCAGAGGGATCCTGAGCAGCTAGTAGCCCATAGATGAGGGGTTTCACTGTATGATCCAAATTTACTCTGGTTCTCACTGTAGTTTGATACCCTTTGATGGGTGATTATCCATTCCAGTTTTGGTTTTTGTTTTTTTTTTTAGCTTTTACTTTTTTATTTGAGAGAGAGTGAGAGAGCACAAGCCGGGGGCAGGGTGGAGGGAGAGAGAGAAGCAGACTCCGTGCTTGAGCAGGGAGCCTGAGGCAGGACTCAATCCCAGGACCCCAGGATCCTGACCTGAGCCATCCTGGCTCCCCTAGAAGTTTTTACTTCTTAATTCTTTTCCCATTCCACATCACCCTCCCCTTTGTCATGACAACCACCAGTCAGTTCTCCGTATCTGTGGGTCTGGGTTTTGTTTTGTTTTGTTTTTTAGATTCCACATATAAATGAAATCATATGGTATTTGTCTTTTTCTGTCTAACTTATTTCACTTAGCATAATACCCTCCAGGTCCATCCATGTTGTCACAAATGGCAAGATTTCAATAGTATTCCATTGTGTATAAAAACCACATCTTCTTTATCCATTCATCCTTCAGTGGACACTTAGGTTGCTTCCATACCTTGGCTATTGTAAATAATGCTGCAGTGAACACAGGGATGCAAATACCTCTTTGAATTATTGTTTTTGTTTTCTTTAGATATATACCCAGTAGTGGAATTACTAGATCATATGGTAGTTCTGTTTTTAATTTTTTGAGGAACCTCTGTGCTGTTTGTTCCAGAGTGGCTACACCAGTTTGCATTCCCACCAACAGTGCACAAGGATTTCCTTCTCTCCACTTCCTTACCAACACTTGTTATTTTTTTATCTTTCTGATAATAGTCATTTTGACAGGTGTAAGGTGATATCTCATTGTGGTTTTGATTGACATTTCCCTAATGTTTAGTGATGTTGAGCATCTTTTCATGTGCCTCTTGGCACATCTCTGTGTCTTCTGAAAAATATTCAGATCCTTTGCCCATTTTTTAATTGGATTGTTTTTTGTTATTGAGTTATAGGAGTTCTTTATATATTTTATATATTATATATTTATTGAGTTCTATGGGTCTTTATATATTTTTTTTATATTTCTTCATATATATATTCATTATTATATATTTATTGAGTTCTATGGATCTTTATATATTTCTTCATATATATAGGCCCTTATCCAGATATATGATTTGGAAATACCTGCTTCAATTTAGTAGGTTCCCTTTTTGTTTTGTTGATGGTTTTCTTCACTGTGCAGAGGCTTTTTAGTTTGATACAGTCCCAGTTTTTGTTTTTGCTTTTGTTTCCCTTGCCTGAAGAGACATCTAAAAAATATCACTAAGACCAATGTGAAGGAGCTTACTGCCTGTGTTTTCTTCTAGGAGTTTTATGTTTTCAGGTCTTCAATCCATTTTGAGTTGATTTTTGTGTATAAGATAGTGTCCCAGTTTCATCCTTTCACATATAGTTGTCCAGTTTTCCCAATACCATTTATTGAAGAGAATATCCTTTCTCCATTGTATATTTTACCCTCCTTTATTGTAAATTAATTGACCATATATGCATGGGTTTTTTCTAGGCTCTCTGTTCTGTTGATCTCTGTGTCTGTTTTTATACCAATACCACACTGTTTGAATTGCTACAGCTTTGTAGTATAATTTGAAATAGGGAGCAGGATACCTTCAGCTTTGTTTTTCTTTCTCAAAATTGTTTTGGCTGTTTAGTCTTTTGTTGTTCCATACAAATTTTAAAATTATTCTAGTTCTGTGAAAAATGCTATTGGTGTTTTGATAGGAATTGCATTGAACCTGTACATTGTATTGGGTGGTATGGACATTTTAACAATATTAATTCTTCCAACTCATGAGCATGGAATATCTTTCCATCTATTTGTGTCTTCTTCAGTTTCTTTAATCGGTGTTTCATAGTTTTCACTGTATAGATCTTTCACCTCCTTGGTTAAATTTATTCCTAGGTATTTTATTCTTTTTGATATTATAAATGGGATTGTTTATGGTTCATTATTAGTGTACAGAAACACAGCAGAATTTTTACGTATTAATTTTGTATACTGCAGTTTTACTGAATTCATTTATTCTAACAGTTTTTTGGTGGAATCTTCAAGGTTTTCTATATGTAGTATCATGTGATCGGCATATAGTGATAGTTTTAATTCTTCCTTTCCAATTTGTGTACCTATTATTTCTTTTTCTTAACCTAATTGCTGTAGCTAGGACTTCCAATACTATGTTGAATAAAAGTGGGGATAGTGGGCAAGCTTTCAAGTTTTCATTATTGAATATGATATTAGATGCTGGTTTGTCATATATGGCCTTTATTATTATATTGAGGTACATTCCCTTTATACCCAGCTTGTTGAGACTTTTTATCATAAATGGGTATTGAATTTTGTCAAATACTTTCTGCATCTAGTGAAATAATCATGATTTTTATCTTTCCTTTTGTTAATGTGGTGTAGCACATTGGTTGATTTGTGGATGTTGAACCATCTTTGTCTCCCTGGAATAAATCCCACTTGATCATGGTATATGATTGTTTTTATGTGTTGTTGAACTCAGTTTGCTAATATTTTATTGAGGATTTTTGCATCCATGTTCATTAGGGATATTGGCCTCTAATTTTCTTTTGTGGTGTTTTGGTATGAGAGTAACACTGGCCTCATAAAATGAGTTTGGAAGTTTTCCTATCTTCGATTTTTTGGAAGAGTTTGAGAGGGATAGGTGTTAAGACTTCTTTTTTTTTTTAAAGATTTTATTTATTCGTCAGAGAGAGTGAGAGCACAAGCGGCGCCGGGGGGGGCGGGGCCGTCAGACATAGACACCTTTGAATGTTTCATAGAATTCACCAGTGAAGCCAGGTGGTCCTGGAATTTTGTTTTTTTAGGAGGTTTTTGATTACTGATTCAGTCTCCTTACTAGTGATTGGTCTATTCAAATTTCTGTTTCTTCATGATTCAATCTGGAAAGATTGTACATTTCTAGGAATTTATCCATTTCTTCTAGGTTGACCAGTTTGTTGGCGTATAATTATTCATCGTAGTCTTCTTATGATCCTTTGTATTTCTGTGGTATTGGTTGTAACGCCCTTTCATTTCTGACTTTATTTGAGCTCTTTTTTCTTCTTGTGGGTCTAGGTAAAGGATTGATTTTTATCTTTTCAAAGAACCAGCCCTTAGTTTCATGGGTCTTCTTTATTGTCTTTTTAGTCTCTTATTTCATTAATTTCTGCTCTGATGTTTATTATTTCTTTCCTCCTACTAACTTTGGGCTTTGTTTGTTCTTTTTTTTTCTAGTTTCCCTAGGTGTGAAGTTAAATTGTTTGAGATTTTTCTTGAGGCAGGCCTGTATTGCTATGAAATTCCCTCTTAGAACCATTTTTTGCTGCATTCCATAGATTTTGGTATGTCATATTTTTGTTTTCATTTGTTTCTCGGTATTTTTTTCCTTTAATTTTTCATTCACCCTGTAGTTATTTAGTAACATGTTTAGTCTCCATATATTTGTAGTTTTTCTGGTTTTCTTCTGGTAGTCAATTTCTAGCTTCATAGTGTTGTGGTCAGAAAAGATCCTTGATATGATTTCAATCTTGTAAAATTTATTGAAACTTGTTGTGTGACCTAATATGTGATCTGTCCTGGAGAATGTGCCATGTGCACTTGAGAAGAATATGTATTCTGCTGCTTTGGATGGATTGTTCTGTACATATCAGTTAAGTCCATCTGGTCTAATGTGTCATTTAAGGGTGAGCTTTCTTTATTGATTTTCTGTTGGAAAGACCTAATATTTTAGGGGCTTGCTTGGTACTAGTAGCACTCCCATACAACCACCACAAATTGTTCAATATAGTATTAATTTATGTTATACATAATTTAAATTAACAGGAGTTTCTGCTTTGTGCCAGACACTGTACTAGGCACTGGCAGTACGTCAGTATGTAACACAGATACAATCCCTGTTCTTACAGAGTATATGCACTAGTGAAGATATTTGAAACTGAGTGTGGTCAGTGTGATAAGTGGTATAAGGGGAGGTACAAGTGCAAATAGTGGAGGCTACTTATTTACCCTGGATATGTCAACACTGGGTAGGCTTCTCAGGAAGGGGTGTCTAAGGTGAAACCTGAAAAATAAAAAGTTAACCAGACCTATAAGAACAGGTTAAGGGCTCCATGCAAAGGAAAAACATGTGGAAAAGGCCAGAGGTGTACTACATATTCTGATAAATACCAGCAGTTTACTTTCTATGACTAGAACTTAAAAGTACTAGGGGAATTATGGAGCTGTAAGAAAGTTACAGAAAGTCTGGGAAACCACACACTAAGAAGTTTGGGCTTAAGCTGTGGGCAGTAAAGAGCCATAAAATCCATAGAAGGATTTTAAATGAGGGAGTACCATCAGATTAGAGTTTTAGATTTTTTTGCTGCCTTACGAAGAATGGATTGAGAAGGAGGGAATGTGTGTGTGTGTGGTGGGGGAGAGACTGAAGACTGGGGACCACCAGGGACCACTGTACACCAGGCCGGCAATGATAGTAGCATATAGAGCCACAGTGAGCAAGTTCCTCTTCTCTTGAATTGCTCCAAGTCTGAAGTAAGTGAAATAGAGTAGCAGTGGGTCCTAGAGTTTCTGTAGCTGGACCAGGAATGGGAGTAGACATTCTCATTCTGACCGATGGCTTCTATGAACTGGTATGTCCAGTTCTGATTCCATATGAGTCCCGTGGAAGAAATCAAATGAGGCCCCTAGATACAAAATCTTGTACTGTATTATGATTTTATTTACCTCTTTGGCCAATTTATAACCTGTTCTATCCTTTGATGCTGTTCAATTGTGTTTTATTGGGGTTTTAAGCATTACATCTTAGGTAGAAGGTGTTGAATATTCTTTTTATGGTAATTTTTATGAAATTGTCTTTACAGGTTCAGAAAGTGCTTCTCCAGTCCATTCAGCTCTGGGATCCAGGTCACAGACACCTTCCCCTTCCACACTGAATATAGATCACATGGAACAGAAAGATCTGCAGCTTGATGAGAAGCTCCACCATTCTGTTCTTCAGACTCCAGATGACCTAGGCAATATTTGGAAATTAGATATTTGCCATTTTTCCTTTTAGGGCATCAGTGTTAGGAGATCTTATTATTTAAATTATTTAAAATTTTGTTTTTGAGAGGGATAAGTTAGAGACAAATCAGTTGATTTATCACTATATAATGAAGGTTCTGTAGAGTAGGGAGATATTAACAGTGATGGTTAAAACTGCAGTGTTTTTTGTTTTATTTCATTGGTTTATACCAGACTCTTATTTTTTATTATTGTGAAAGACAATTTGGTAACTTTTTGATAATACAGTTATTATACACTTCATGTGGAAAGAGAAAAAAGTCAAACATGAGGCGTAAAGGACTTACGTAGAGTTACAGTGAGTGAACTTGTAAATTATGAGCACACTGATATTATCAAGTAGGAATAATCTTTACTAACTTAGTAATTATTTTGCCTTTTCCATTATATACACTGAATGGAATAATGGATGTTTCTTAAGGTGGAGATCTATAATGATATCTAGCTAAACCATCTATTTTACAGTGAGGAAGTGTAGCCTTAGGAAGGTTACTAAGTAATTTGTACAGCGTCACATAATTGAGAGAAATGAGGCTAGGATTCAAGGTTACCTATATTTCTTACATATAATCTTGCCAATTTTATTAAACAAAAGAAATATAATTATGGAATTTTAGATTATGTTTAAGTTTTAGTAAAAATGTTAATTTTCCCATGTCATTGTGATATCCCTTTTAATGCTAGGCCTGACTTAATTGTGAAATATATTTCTTTGGAAGTTGTAAGTACAAAGAAACAGGCTTATGAAGACTTCCTATAGGAACTGCATTCAGCCTAAGATTTTCTATTAATTGATGCTATAACCTGAAGTAGCCATTTGATGAAAGAGGGAGTATGTACTTATAAATATGATCTTTAGATCAATTATAAATTTCTGTCTGGTATCTGCATCATTTTCTCCTTAGGTAAATCCTAGTACAGGTGGTATTGAATAAATACTGCCATAAAAAGGAATTGTGAACTGGTGAGCTTTTGATCTTATCAGGAAAAAATAACACTAATGCATATTGACTGTTGACATTTTAAAAATTCACTTTTGTAGATATTTAAGTTTGTTATTTTGACTCCTTTGTATTTTTGTGACCCAATTCTTTAGAGAAATTACTGACACTAGTGTATTTTTTTCTACAGAAATCAGTGAGTTTCCATCTGAATGTTGTAGTGTGATGGCAGGGGGTACACTCACAGGATGGCATGCTGATGTTGCTACTGTAATGTGGCGAAGAATGCTAGGCATTTTGGGAGATGTCAACGCTATTATGGATCCCGAAATACATGCTCAAGTTTTTGATTACCTCTGTGAACTTTGGCAAAATCTAGCTAAGGTAAAAAAAATAAAATTAATTTAAAAAGAGGAGAAAGAAAGAAGAGTGCTAAGACGTAGAAGCCTTAGATCTCATTGCCACCCACCACCCCCCTTACTATAAACTGGTTCCTACCAAGGTGAAGTCACTTATCCATGTTTAAATATATAATTAGTGATAGGAACTGGAATTGAACTCAAGTTTAAGGTAAAACAAATGGAAGAACACTTTTATTGGTTTGTTGCATTTTATTTGAAAATTACAGATTAGAGATAACCTTGGCATTTCAACTGATAACCTGACCTCCCCTTCACCACCAGTTTTGATTCCTCCATTGAGAATTCTTACACCTTGGCTCTTCAAGGTAAGCTTAATATATATATAAAACATTAATTTAAAAGATTCATTTAGTAAAAACAATGTAATCAGTTTTAAAAATTTGATAGACTCTTTAGCTTTTGTATAGTCTTCTAGAACAGTTAGTTTTTAACTAGTCATTGGGGGTTATATAGAGAGTTGAATGGGCATAGCAAAATTATGCAGGTGCATCATTTTTACTTATTTAATAAAACAAAAATGAATATAGAATTATGTTTCTGTTATATTTAAGTGAAGTGTAAATCTCAAATTTGTGTCAGAATGTGCTGTATATTTTTAAGGATTTAATTCTTGGGGCACCTGGGTGACTCAGTCGGCTAAATTTCTGCCTTTGGTTCAGGTCATGATCCCAGGGTCCTTGGATTGAGCCCCCCATCCGGCTTCCTGCTCAGCAGGGAGTCTGCTTCTCCCTCTCCCTCTAAAGCTCCCTCTGTTTGTGCTCTCTTGCTCTCTCTGTCAAATAAATAAATAAAATCTTAAAAAAAAAAAGATTTAATTCTTTTGAGTATTTGATATGTTTGGTGCATTTTCCTAAATGAAACAGTATGTGGTTATTCATACCTATGTTATTTCATTTTAATAGTAGTTTCAATAATCCTAATAATTGATTCATTAAGAAATTGGGCCAACATAGAAATAAATGAAAACAAATATATTGCTTGCTATATTCAATTTAACAGTATTTGTTTTTGAGTATTAAAACCAACATTTTTGAATTGTAGGCAACCATGTTGACTGATAAATATAAACAAGGTAAATTACATGCTTACAAACTTATCTGTAATACAATGAAAAGAAGACAAGATGTTTCTCCAAACAGGGATTTTCTAACACATTTCTACAATATAATGCATTGTGGATTACTTCATATTGATCAGGTAAATATATACTTTCTAACCAATTGCTTTATAAATTTATCTTTGATTCTTGATTGTTTAACTCTTAGCTTTTAAGGTCTAGAATTAAAAATACTCTTTTATGTAGTCATTTTATTTACAAGTTTCTTCTGTTTTGTAACCTAATTTGTTCTTGAAACGTAGTTGAAAAGCTGTTACAGTTAGGGAATCAACTTGTTTATTAAATGTATCTTTCCTCTAAAGTTAAAATAACTAGTTTGCTTTTTTAAGATATTAAGCCATCTTTTGCTTAGACAGACATGTTTCTTTAATGTCCTAATGTGCTTATTCTTGGGCATTTTGTAATTGTTACTTAATAATTGGCACTCGAGGCATATGGATTTGCTCATCTAGTCATGCAACAGTCAGTAGTTTTTTCCAGTCTAAGAGTTAGTTAGCACATCACATTTTCTTATTTCCATAGATTGTATTAGCATAGTGACAGTTCTATTGACTTGGCATTTGTATCAGTGCAGTCATTACATTAGCCAATCATAAATATGACTGTAGAACATTACTTTAGGAGTCTTGATCCTGGCCATAAAATTAAAAAAAATCTATGGGAGGTTATAAGTCATGGTAATGAAACATTTTAATCATAATGTGGTTAAATTTCACTTGCAGTTCATTTAAAGAACATTAAACTAATATCAAAAGAGGTAATTATATATCTCTCTTCCCAAAAAATGAAAATACTTCTCACATTAATTTGAAATAGCACTTACAATGTACTACCCTATAAACATGTCTCAAACAAAATGACACCTTTAATTACTTGACAGAGAGACCTTTTGTTTAGGATGAATCAGATTGAGTAATACAGCATAAAACACTGCATCCTCATGTTGAATTCCAAAGGCAAAGTGAATGAATAACCAAGTTAAGAATACTCCCTCAGTGGGGCGCCTGGGTGGCTCAGTCGTTAAGCATCTGCCTTCGGCTCAGGTCATGATCCCAGGGTCCTGGGATCGAGCCCTGCATCGCATCGGGTTCCCTGCTCAGCGGGAAGCCTGCTTCTCCTTCTCCCACTCCCCCTGCTTGTGTTCCCTCTCTCGCTGTGTCTCTCTCTGTCAAATAAATAAATAAAATCTTAAAAAAAAAAAAAAAGAATACTCCCTCAAAAATGCCTCGGTCTGTATTTCTGAGGCTAGATATTTGTCATCAAAGGACTTCAGTTTATCTAATGAGAATTCCTCCAGTTGCCACATAATAGGTCTTGAAACTTGAGAGATCAGAGATCTCACATGGAAGCAAGTAGATGAGAGAAGGAACCACTCTGCAGTTCAGTTTTAGGCTACGAAAGCCTTGTATTTTCAACGCTCTGAAGCAAAGAGCCTTCCAGTTTGCTCTCTAGTGTGGAAAAAAAAATGCTATATTGATGTCAGTTAAACAAATGTGTTTTAAGATTACTTTCCTTTGACAGAATATAATACTAAGCATGGATTATTTAGAAGATTTAAAATCAGTCTTTCCAATTAGGCAATGTATAGTAATTGCCTATTTTACTGTTTCATATGTTATCTATTTTTAAGGATATTGATTAGCTGATACCCAAGATTAATTTAGGATATTCTTTTCCCCTTCTTTTCTTACTCCTAAGGATATTGTCAATACAATCATCAAGCACTGCTCACCTCAGTTTTTTTCACTTGGTTTGCCTGGTGCCACAATGCTTATTATGGATTTTATTGTAGCAGCTGGTAGAGTGGCTTCTTCGGCTTTTCTCAATGTAAGTTTTTATTTCCTGTTCTTCATAATATAACAGACTGTAGTTAAACAGGACTCAACTAACAAAGCAACAAAGGAGAAGCCCTTGTTAATAAATTTAACAAGCTAAGGTTCAGGAAAATTTACAGTTTAACTGAAGTTGCTTTTTTTTTTAAGTAAATATTGAAATACAAGAAAGTACTAAAATTAGTTGATAAATTGACACATGAGCTATAAAAATGGATTAAATCTGATAAGCAAAACAAAATTTAAAATTGAGGAAATCTAAGGAAACAGAGGGAGGGAAGAAACTAAAGAGAGGGCAGTGGGCCATAGCAAAAGAGATGGACCAGAGGTGAGATAATTCAAAAGTATGCTCTAGGAGTAAACTCTAAACTCTGAGACAGCATGTGAGGATTATGATAACAGTTATGGAGCTGTGAGACATGCCAAGTAACTCACTATAGTTGGAATATGTTCATATGTAACTAGAAGAGATAAGCTAAAGAGGAAGACAGCTGGTTTACTGTGCTGAAGAGGTTAGAGTTCATCCCAAGGAAAGAATAAGTAAGCATTGAGGGATTTTACACAAGAAGTGACATGATCAGATTTCTACTTGAGAAGGAGCACTCTGGCACAAAGTATAAATGAGAAATAACAATTAATTGAAAGTCTACTAGAATAAACTAAGAGTTTTGGGGAGAGAAAAATCAGTCCTACTTGACCATCATTTTGTAACTTAGAGAACAGTTTAATATATGTTATTTCACTCATAAGCTATACAAAAGACTAACAGTGAATGAGAAGGAGTTCTATTTGTGGTATAGAAAGCTGCCTATTCGAGATCCATGAGAATATGTTAGGAGGGCCATTGCATGTACAAGGCAGGAGCTCAAAGGAGATGTCAGGACTGAAATGGAAAGCTGGACGACTAACTTATACATGTTATTGTAGGCCATGAAACTGGATGCAGTCACCCAGTGGAAATGTTCACATAAGGGAAGAACCTGTGTTTATAGCTAGTTGTTAACCCTGTTTCTCCAGTTATGTAAGAATAGCCATAACTAGCGAGAAAGACTGCATAGGAAAACAAGTTATTGCAGGAATCAAACCTGACACCTTGTCCCTACTGTAAGGTTGATGTTAGTCTTTTCCTCTGGATGATGTTGGAAATACACAGTTCAGTCTTGCTCTTTGGATTCCATTTTAGATCCCATACACATCATCATCTTTCTGTGAATGGGTAGCTCCTTTCTTCCCCTGCCAGACAGATTACAAAATAATTGATTAGGTTTTGCCTTTCTTAATTATAATCACATTACAGTATGCTCCCATTATATCCACATACCTGAACATTCTTAGTTACCTTATCCAACTTTAAAGAAAAACCCTTAGCTAATCTCTTTTAAAATACTGGTTTTGATCAGTTTCACTTTTATAGCGAATTTTATTTTATTTATTTAAAGATTTTATTTTTCTGAGTAATCTCAACACCCATCATGGAGCTTGAATTTACAACCCTGAGATGAAGAGTCACATGCTCTACTGACGGAGCCAGCCAGGCACCCCTATAGCTAATTTTAAATTGGCATGGTGTCTACAAGCTTACCCTAACCCTTTTATGGGGTTGTCTTTTTATCTGCAAATTTGGATTATTTTTTAAATATGGAAATGAGTTGTTTTGTTGATAATCATAATAAAGTAGTACTCCACTGCCTCTCTAATAACATTTAGAAACATAGGGAAAGCCTTTTGGAGGCAGATTCTTGTTTTATGTGAATAAAAGTATTATATTTCTAGCAGATTTGTTTTAGCATGTTCTAGCATTTGTTTTAGCATTTAGTATTTCTAGCAGGTATCATTAAACATATAAATTAATATTGTAGGTATTTTAGTTAATAAAGAAATATATTAGTAGGTGGGTGTTGGTGTTTGGTGGACATGCAAGAAGGTAGAAGAAAAAGAAATGCTTAGTGCTGATACTTCAGAGATGGCTTAATACAGCTAAGGAGAAAAGATGAAAAGTTACCTTCATCTGCAGGCCAAGCATAAATTCTGTTTTTAGTAAGTAGTATAGGCATTGCTTTTCTCATGTGCTTATATAATATCATAAAAACCATCTAGACTGGTGTCTGTTTCTTGAAGAGACAGTTAATGTTTTTATCGTTAGTTACTTTATTATCCTTAGATAGTAACAAATATAATCTAGTGACATTGAGTCATCTGCTCATTAGTACAATATGTTATGAAGTGTTGAATTGCCTTTAAAATGAAAGTATTTATATTTTTTCTCAAAATTAGGGTAATTTTATGCTGTTAGCTAAACTATATTATTATTTACAGTCAACTGTGGCTGATTCTGCTTTTTTGCTGCTCTTAAGGAGAGCTCTGCTGTTTGTTCATTATATTTATTGAAAATAACAGTAGTTTATGTGGAAAGTATAGGTGAAAACCTGAATGTTTTTGTATTTCCAGTGTCCTTTTTAATTTTGTCTTTTGCTCTCACTTCTCTTTGTAATATGGTTAGGTCATAAAGTAACTTTTCTGGTAATTTAATGACATAATCAAATACATTATAAAGATTTTAAAAATCTGATACCTAGGCACCAAGAGTAGAAGCACAAGTTCTTCTGGGATCTTTGGTTTGCTTTCCTAACTTATATTGTGAACTGCCTGCTCTCCATCCCAACATTCCTGATATTGCTGTGTCTCAGTTTACAGATGTTAAGGTAAGAAATCAGATTCTGATTTTTAGTGTTTAAATGATTTTATAATAACAATGTATGATAAAATTTGTATTCTTTCTTTTCCTTTAGAAATCCACATAATTGTTAAAGAACATTAACCAGTCATACCCCTCAGACGCAAGGCTAGAATGTCCATTAGGAGCATAGTCTTTTTTGTATTGATAACTTCTTTGGAAACATTTTCTCATTACTGAATCCATTCATATATCAGTATCTTAGGATTCTTTCATCCACTCACAGAACATTTATTGAAACATCCTGTGAGGCAGATACTATGCTACCTCTAAGGCTTCTAAGATTGAGATGGCACTAAATCTGCAAATTTGACACTCTGTCTCCTAATTTCCCCATGTGATAGATCAAACAGTGTAATGGAATATTCTGTTTTGCTGTAGGAAACTGTGGAATTGGGGTGGGGAATCTATGTACCTGAAGCATAGCTCCTCAAAAGTCATGCTGATAATTTTTTTTTAAACTTTTGCCTTCTCTGAAAGAAATTTTTTCAATCCAGTTTTCTGGATTTCTGCATGTACTTTTCATACCACCCATATTTCTCTTTACGACGTTTATAACGTGCAATTACTTGTTTAGTGTTTGATTTATGCTTCAGACAAACACCATAAAGTCTTATTTACTGCTATATCCTCAGAGCTTAACATGCTGCTTGGCATCTGGTACTCCAGAAACATTTGTTAAAAAAGTGAATTTCGCTTACACATAAAATTATGTAGGTCAATGCAAATTTGCAATGGCAGTTAATAAAAACTATAGAAATTGAGCTCTGGTCTTCAGAGATGTAATATCTTCAGTTTCTTCTATTTTCAGAAGATCCTGAAGGTGAGGGATAGGTAATAGTTTTAATTTGCTTAGGCAAATTAAATTTAATTTTGTCTTTTGCTCTCACTTCTCTGTGTAATATGGTTAGGTCATAAAGTAACTTTTCTGGTAATTTAATGACATAATCAAATACATTATAAAGATTTAAAAAATCTGATACCTAGGCACCAAGAGTAGAGTTTGCTAGGGATTAGCCTAGCTAACTACATATGATCTGCATTTCAGAGTGGCCTCATTGTCTTCTGGCCTTTGTATAGATAGTAATGGCTGAAATGATTTAAAAAATCAACTTTGGGGAAGGGGTATCTCCAAAATAAAAGCTAATTCTAATAATGAAGAAAGCAAAAAGCCTAAGAAAATAATAATTATTCTTAGTCAGAAAACTGGAGATTTAAGGGAAAATTACAGGCCGTAGTGGTCATATTTAATTTTCACTGAAACTAGCTCTCTGTATATTTTAAACTGCAGCCACATAGCCACATGGAACATACCATGCTGTTTTTCAGTTTTGTGCTTTTGAAAATGCATTTCTTTCTGCCTAAACATCCATTATATAGACCTGTTTTCCTCTTTTTGTCTCTCTTAATCACCCAAACACAAATAATCTTAGTCTTTGACCTTGATCATTTGTCAAAATCCTGTTTACCTAAAACCGTTTTGTGAAGTCTTCTATGACTTTCCGAAGTTTACCTGTTCACATAGAACCTTTTATGTGTCATCTTGTGTTGTGATTGTTTACAAGTCTCCCTCCCTCTCTGGAATGTAAACTTCTTGAAGATAGGTACTGCATCTTAACCATCCATTTCTTTCTAGCATTTAAGACAGGATCTATTACATAGAAAGCTCTTGGGCTTAAACAATAGATTTGTTCAAAGTACCTATTAATTGCGAGCCAGTGGGCTAGATGCTAAGTTTACAAAGATAAGTCGAAGGTACTCCCCCTAAGGAGATTACAATCTATGTAGCTGATAAGTGCTTTGTGAATTCATGAATGAATGAATGATTTTTTTAAAAAAGGAAGTAATAGAGTCTTAATTATCAAGCCTCGTGGCATTCTTGTTTTCCTCTTAGTTAGCCACTCTAGTATTTGACCCATGTTGATATTCCTGACCTTCCTAAATCTTTTCAACTTTGACTTATGTTGCACAGATCCATCTTGATTTACTTCTTGTTTGTCTAAATATTCTAGGACTCCTTAATAAACCAGTGTTCTTTCTCTGCCTGCTAAACATAAACTTACTATAAGACCCTCTCTTTAGATAATTACTTTCTCTTTATTCTCCCGTTTGAATATTTTATTCATTCATATAATTTTAACTGTTATTTAGCACTTATCCCCAAACTCACACATTATAATGTTTTACAAATTATCAAAAAAGAGGAGGCTTGCTTTTAAATAAATATTTCTCAAAGTTTTGAAAAGATACCCATACTTTTGAGCGAGTAAATCTGTTTTAATTATCTTATAGTGAACTTTTTTTAATCTTTTAATCAGGAAAAATTATTTTTTTGAACATGTATATTTGGTTATAAATTTCAGAAATCATTTATTTTAGTCTGTGCTGCTGTAACAAAATACTACTAAAAAAAAATACTACCAACTGGGTAGCTTATAAACAGCAGAAATTTATTTGTCACAGTTGTGGAGGCTGGAAGTCCAAGATCAAGGCTCCAGCAGAGTGGCATTCTGGCGAGGGCCCTCTCGCTGCTCCAGAGCTGGTCCCTTCCCGCTATGTCTTCACAAAGTGGAAGGAACTAAGGAGGTCTTTGGTGGTCTCTTGTATAAGAGCATGAATCTCATTCATAACGTCTCCATCCTCATGACCTAACATCATCTTTGGGAGATAGGATTTTAGCATAAGAATTTTTGGAGGGGAGACACAAATATTCAAGACCATATTATTGTTTTTTTTATTTAGCTAATTTTATGAATAATATTGGACTCTAATAAAGTATTCAGGTGAGAACAAAGATTGTTTTATTTCACTGTTGTATCCCTAGCACCTGGCACAGTGCTTGGGCCCATAGTAGCCATTTAATAAATACTTGAATGAATGAATGAATGAAATCTTAATCATTACAGGTATTTCCCCTTTATTTTAGGAACTCATAATCAAAACTGTATTAAGCTCGGCAAGAGATGAGCCATCTGGTCCTGCACGGTAGGTCAGATACTCTTTTTTTTTTTTAAGATTTTATTTATTTGCGAGAGAGAGACAGAGATAGCAAGAGAAAGCACAAGATGGGAGGAAAGGGAGAAGCAAGCTCCCCACTGAGCAGGGAGCGCAACACAGGGCTTGGACCCAGGAGCCTGGGATCATGACCTGAGCTGAAGGCAGATGCTTAACCGAAGGCAGATGCTTAACCGACTGAGCCACCCAGGCACCCCTGGTAGTTTTAATAGTAAATAATTTATTAGCATTAACACTATGATAAACTGAAAGAAGAGACTTAAGAATTTCTGATCCACTATGTTCAGGAAGAAAGATATTTCTGCATTGAATTATTCTGAAATTTAACGTTCTACAAAATTTACGAATGTTAGTATTAGGACATGCCAAGTATACCAGGATACTAGAAAGAGTTGACTTTTTTAGGAGTTGAGGGAAACAGTATGTGCTTCATCAGAAGCTTATACTTGAATACACTAATGAAATTTGTACTGATTCTGATCATCAAATAACTCCCTTCAATTTGAAACTTCAGTTGAAATAGGGAAATGAAGTTTCACAAGATGTTAGGGAATAGAAAAAATTCTACAAGTTTCTGTTGGAAACCCTTTATAAAGCACATGAATTTTATTTGTATTGCCAGTTTGTTTTACAAAGAATTTGTAGCTGGGGCGCCTGGGTGGCTCAGTCGTTAAGCGTCTGCCTTCAGCTCAGGTCATGATCCCAGGGTCCTGGGATCGAGCCCCACATGGGGCTCCTTACTCCACAGGAAGCCTGCTTCTTTCTCTCCCACTCCCCCTGCTTTTGTTCACTCTCTTGCTGTGTCTCTCTCTGTCAAAAAATAAATTTAAAAATTAAAAAAAAAAAAGAATTTGTAGCTAGCTGTGTTAAATTTAAGAGTTATGAAAATAATATTTAGGGGCACCTGGGTGGCTCAGTCAGTTAAGTATCCGACTCTTGATTTTGGCTCAGGTCATGATCTCAGGGTTGCGAGATTGAGCCCCTCGTCAGGCTCTGTACTGGGCATGGAACCTGCTTAAGATTCCCTCTCTCCCTCTCTCCCTCTCCCTCTGCCCTTCCCCCCTTCTCTAAAAAAGAAGGAAGGAAAAGAAAGAAAATAATATTTGACTTACCCCATCAGCTTCATGTTTTTGCTAAAGTTTATTTTGTGCTGTCAGTCAATAAAACCACACTCTTTCCTTTTTTGAAAGCAGGTTACATATTTGTTTGGGAAGCTTTATGGCAATATCAGTTTATTAATATGGGTTTGTTAAAAAGATCCTGTGTGTTATCCCCATCTGTGAGCTTGGTAGTAAATTATGTTTGAAAATTAGGCATTGAATTTGGGGTCATGTGCTTTCCTCCTCCTTTCTCTTCCTCAGGAAGAGCTAATGTACAGAGTAACAGATTGATTGATTCACTTAAACAGTGCATGTTCATTCTAGATTGGTTGGTTGTGGGTATTTTGGTTGTGGTGGTTTCATTTCATTTAAAGGCTCATCTACTTCTGTTTATATCATTGTTGGTTGCCCTTTTTGCAGATGTGTAGCATTGTGCAGTTTAGGTATTTGGATTTGTGAAGAACTAGTCCATGAGTCTCATCATCCTCAAATCAAGGAAGCTCTGAATGTAATTTGTGTTTCCTTAAAGGTAAAAAAACCCTATTTAATCAAATATATTAATATAGTATAGAATGCAGGACTGGTTTTCTCCAAATGTTAATTATATATTGTGTCCTTATAGAATAAAACATTTAATAAATGTTTTTATTACTTTATTATTACATTATTTCTTTGATCCTGACTTTTTCCTTCAGAGTGGTGCTACTCTTGAATTTTGGATATCCTAGTGATAACCTATTTTACCTGAGCTTTTTACGTCACTTAACAACATATATAGGGTTGTTTGTTTTTTCCTGATCAGTATTTTTGTAACCTACTCTTTAATCCTTAATACTTTCCTGAATTCTTGAGCTGTTCAATGTTTCGGCTTTATTATTCAAGTTAAATGCTCTCTTTGTAAACAGAGTAAGATTTGTTAAAAAATAATAACCTAATTACTTGGAGAATCTGAGTAAATTTTTTGCTTGTGAAAGTATGCATATTATTTTTGTTTGACTTGTAATATAGTATCTGTATAGAATTCTAAACATAAAAGGTACAAATATTACTTATTGGACAAATATTTCTGAGTATGTACTATGTTTGAGGTGGTTTGCTAGTCAGAGTGAGGGATACCAGAATAAAAAATAATTGTAAATACTAGATGCAAGCGGTTAATAATATGATGGCTGAAAAGGATTAAAATAAGAGTTTTATAAAACAGAAAGCTGAGAGAACCAAATGAGTGGTGCATATGAAATGCTAATTGAGATCAGAAGAAGCTGAGATCACTTTGACTTAAGTAATAGAGAAGACTCTGGAAAGGAGGCAGAAGAATGGGGGAGATTTGGTCATAGAGAGTTAAACCTAACAAGTTTGAGTTTATGCCAGTGGGGAGTCATCTGAGAGCTTTAAGCATAGAGAATGTCAGCATCAGAGCAGTTCTTTAGATTAATTTGAAAGTGTTGGTATAGTAGATTGGAATGGGGAAACGATTAATAAGGAAATTAGCAGTTTACAGGCTGTTGCAGAAATCCAGGTAACAGAAAATGGAATAAAACCTTAATGGGGACAAACATTCAAAATTAAAAATAAAATTGTGTTTTTAGAATGTGTTATGAATTTTTATTTTGTGGCTATGTATTTATCTTAATATTTTAATAAACATATAGAATGACCAAAAGAAACATGTATGAAATTTCAAGTTTTTCAGCAGCTAATACATTAATGAATATTTTGTTGTTATTACAGTTTACTAATAAAACAGTAGCCCATGTAGCTTGTAACATGCTTCACATGCTGGTTCATTACGTACCTAGACTTCAGATTTACCAACCTGATTCTCCCTTGAAAATTATTCAAGTAAGTATTTCTCATGTATTATGACCTGTTAAATATAATAAATTTATCCCTATACATTTTTAACAAGCACATAAAAAAATTTAATGAGCTCAAGAAATTTCCAGAGTAACACATATGTATGTGCATATTTTGCCTTCTTTTATTAATTTTTTTTATTATTTCATATTTTTGTATCAAATTTATTCATATACTATTCAGAGTATAATATATGTTAATTTAAAAAGCCACCGTATGGGGTGCCTGAGTGGCTCAGTTGGTTAAGCATCTGCCTTCAGCTCAGGTCATGATCTCAGGGTCCTGGAGTCAAGGCCCACATTGGGCTCTCCGCTCAGCGGGAACTCTGCTTCTCCCTCTTACTCTCCGTCTGTGCTTTCTCTCTTTCTCAAATAAATAAATAAAATTAAAAAAAAAATACATTATAAAATATCTTTTTTTTTGGTGTTACTATATCTTTTATTCTGTATACATACATACAAAAAGCAATGACATGCATGTACAATTAGATGAATTTTCAGGTTACCAACACCAAGATTAATAAGAATATTACCAGAATTGCTTCAAAATAACCCTTCCTTTTTAAAGGATATTTTTCCTGGGTTCCAGATTCTTGGTTATTTCTTTCAGCACTGCAAAGAACTCAATTCATTGTCTTCTAATAAAAAACTAATGATGTAATCTTTTTTTTTTTTTAAAGCATATATTTACCTACACACACACACACACACACACACAGAAGTGTCTGGAAAGGTAAGAGTAGATTTCTTTTTCTTTTTATTTCCCCTCTTTTTTAAGTAAACTCTATGCCCAGTGTGGGGCTTGAACTCACAGCCCCGAGGTCAAGAGTCATATGTTTTACCAACTGAGCCAGCCAGGCACCCTGAGAGTCGATTTTCATATTTTCCCCCCCAACTTTACTGAGAAATAGTTGACATTGTATATATTTCAAATACAGAACATGATGATTTGGTAATTGTGGAATGATTACCAAGGTCAAGATAATTAACACATCAATTACCTCACATAGTTAACTGTTGTTTGTTTATGGTGAGAATGCTTAAGGTCTATTCTTAGAAACTTCCAGATATTCAGTATGATTAACTATAGTCACCATGCTGTACATTAGATCCTCAGAACTTACTGTTTTTATAACTGAAAATTTATACCCTTTGACCTACATCTCCCCATTTTCCTCTTCTCCTCCCAGCCCCTGGCCACCACATTTCTATTCTGTTTCTATGAAATCAGCATTCTTTTTTTTTTTAAGATTCCACATATAAGTGGTACTGTACAGTATTTGCCTTTCTCTGGCTTATTTCACTTACAGTAATGCCCTCCAGGTTCATCCATGTTGTCACAAATGGCAAGATTTCCTTTTTTATGGCTGAGTAATAGTATTCCATTGTGTATATATATATACACACACATTTTTTTGAATTCATTTATTCATTGAAGGACATTTACATTGTTTCCATATCATTGCTATTGTGAATAATGCTGCAATGAACATGGTGTACAGGTATCTCTTCGAGATACTGATTTCATTTCCTTCAGATATACATCTAGGAGCAGGATTGCTGGATCATTATAGTAGTTCTTTTTTTTTTTTATCATATGGTAGTTCCAATTTTAATATTTTGAGGAACCTCCGTACTGTTTTCCATAAAAGCTGTACCAGTTCACCTTCCCACCAACAGTGTATATCAGTTTTCTTTTCTCCACCTCCTTGCCAACATCTGTTATCTCTTATCTTTTTGAAAAAAACCATTCTAACAGATGTGGTTTTTATTTGCATTTTCCTCATGATTAGTGATGTTGAATACCTTTTCATATACCCATTAAAATGCCATTTGGGGGCGCCTGGGTGGCTCAGTCATTAAGCGTCCGCCTTCGGCTCAGGTCAAATAAATAAAATCTTTAAAATAAATTAAAATAAGATTTTATTTATTTATTTGACAGAGAGAGAGACAGGGAACACAAGCAGGGGGAGTGGGAGAGGGAGAAGCCAGCTTCCCACTGAGCAGGGACCCCGATGCGGGGCTCGATCCCAGGACCCTGGGATCATGACCTGAGCCGAAGGCAGACGCTTAACGACTGAGCCACCCAGGCGCCCCAAAATAAAATAAAATAAAAATAAAATAAAATAAAATGCCATTTGAATGTCTTCTTTGGAAAAATGTTTATTCAGGTCCTTTGCCCATTTTTAAATTGGATTATTTGCTTTTTTGCTATTGAGTTGTATGAATTCTTCATATATTTTATGTATTAACCCCTATCCAGATACATAGTTTGTAAACATTTTCTCCCATTCCATCAGTTGCCTTTTCAGTGTGTTGCTTCCTTTGCTGTGCAGATGCTCTTTAGTTTGATATGGTCCCACTTGTTTACTTTAGCTTTTGGTGTCTGTGCTTTTGGTGTCTTATCCAAGAATTCAATGCCAAGACCAATATCAAGAATATTTTCCATGTGCTTTCCTCTAGGAGTTTATGCTTTCAGGTCTTTGATCCATGTCAAGTTAATTTTTGTCAGTGGTGTAAAATAGAGGTCCAGTTTCATTCTCTCTCTCTCTCTCTCTGTATATATATATAGATATAGATTCCTGAATTGAGTTTGTAAGAAATCCATTTATAGCTGAAGAGTTTATATGATTTTGGTTCCTATATACATATGAGGATTGTAAATGATTGATAGTTAAGAATACTTGAAAAGCTTACCTATTAAAAATTAACTTTGAAGTAACAGTGTTAATGTATTTAGGATTTAAAAATGTACTTAAACTTTCATCAATAGATTTTTTTATCACTTTACCATTAACATTTAAGTTTTAGGATGCATTATTAACATATTTTGAACTTTTTTTTTCTTTGCTGACAGATTCTAATTGCCACCATTACCCATCTTTTGCCAAGTACAGAAGCTTCATCTTATGAAATGGATAAGAGGGTAATTTAAATTTTGTTTGATATTTAATGGGTTTAGTAAAATATATTTTAAAATTGCAAAGATATATATATTTATATGGTAAACATTAATTAATCTTGTGCTTAAAAATCCCTATAATATGAAATATATCTTTACATTATTTAAGTGTAACTAAATTATATTTTAGTTCAAATGTCAAGTTAATCATAGTCATTTGGTAAAGTCTTTGAATCTCAGGATTGTGAGGAACCTTAGAGGATATTCTGTTCATTTATAATTATTTCACTTTATCCTACCAAATTATGGTCTTGTTTATGCCTGAAAATTAGTAATTCTGAGGAATTCATCGTTTCTGAAGGCAGCCATACATCTTTATATAACTGTTATTGGTAGAAAATAATGAAATTTCCGTTAAGGAGAGTATGTATAATAGAGCTATGGCACATAGAAGAAGGCACCCCTCTGGCCACAAAAAGTTCTACAGGATTGCATTTACCTCAGTAAATTCATTGTGAGACTCCTTTAACTATTTCAGATATTGTATTTGTCAGTCTAAAGTTTCTATTTGGTTTCTTTTCGTAGTTTCCATAGATTTCCTGAAATCTGCATTTCTTCATCACTTATATCTATCTTTTCTTTTAGATTTTTAACATGTTTATCATAATTATTTTGAAGTCCTCGTCTGCTAAATTCAATATCTGGGTTATTGCTGAGTCTGTTTCTATTGAAATCTTTTCCTCTTGACTATGGATTCCATTTTCCTGTTTGTTCATATGTCTGTTAGTTTTTTATTATATATTAGGCATTGTACATAACATGTTATGTACAGAGACTCTAGATCTTTGCTGCCCAGGATAGTAGCTACTAACCACATGTGACTTTAAATAAAATTAAAACTTTATATTAAAAACTTAATTCCTTATTTGTGCTAACCACATTTCAAGTGCCTAATAGTCACATGGACAAATATATACCATTCCCATCATTGCACAAAGTTCTGTTAATCAACGCTTCTCTAGATTCTGTTCATTTCCTCTGAAAATTATTTTATTCCTTTCCATTTTCACATCCCAATCTTGCATTCTGTTCTCCAGATCTCAGTGTCACCATCTCTTAATCGTATGGTGTTGAAATCTCAAAAGAGCAGAGTTGTTGGAGAAAGATGAATTTCAGTTTTCATTGTGTTGCATGTAAGGAATATTGCCCGGTAAAACCACCAGCAAAGCAACTCCATACCTAAAGTAGTAAATTTGAAGCTGGAAACAAAATTACTGATATCATCAACACATGAGTACTATTAAACTATGGGAATATATATGATCACTTAAGGAGAAGTTACAGAGTAAGAAGAGTTATTAGCGAAGTAGAACACCTTGAAGAATAACAGAGCAGGGGTCACCAAAATAGAGACATAGGAGGCTCCTGAATTTTCTTCCTCCTATGGATGCACCAAAGATACAACTACACATGGAGCAGTTCTCTCTGAGAGAAATCCAGAAATTAGTTGAATGATCCTACACATCAGGCAACTGAGAAAATACCCACATCAAACTACATAGGAAACATTCTCATGATAAACCCCACTGTTGGCACAATCAGGAGAGAACCCCCAACTGCCAGGGTCTCTCTGAGGATAGAAGGGTTTAGACCACACATCTAGCACCCCAGCTTTTAAGTCTGCCATGCCAGGGATGGGCTTCCAAATCACCTGCCTCTGAAAGCCAACAGGGCTTGTATTCACAAGTCCCACAGAACTACAGAAAACAAAGGAACACTTGTTTAACAGGAGTGTGAGCACCTGCTATTGCTATTCCCCCAGGGTTCAGCACAGAGGGAACAGGCATTCTTTCCCTATAAAGAATTTTACTGCATATTTTCCCAGCTGTTGCCTGAGGGTCCAGCTTCTAATCAGCCTTCATCTAGGTGCTGACTGCAGTCCTCCTGGAAGCCCATTAGAACCAGTGGGCACTTCCCCTGTATTCTCCCTGCATCTGGCTCCAACAATAAAACCAGGTCTCCAGCTTTTCCCTAGAAGGAACTTGTCAAAACAAGGTGAGTAGCTCCCAAATCACCTAGTTCTGGGAGCGGACAGAACTTGGCATTCATGAATTCTCTAGCAACACACAAAACAGTGGTGGTTATATTTGCACCAGCACTCCCAGCCACTGTTTCCTCTGGCTTAGCACAGAATGAGTAAGCAAAAATAGCCAGCTCTGTTTCTCTGTTAGGGGCTAGACTGCATAGCTAATATCTCAACTTCCCTGCTGTTCCTGAAAGTCAGCCTTTCAGTTAGCCTGCATCAGGGAGCCGAAGGGGTAGGCAATTAGTAGTACTTCAGGAACCTGAATAGGTATATTGGCGTTTCCCACCCTTTTAGGACACAGCTTGGATAGTCACAGAGGTTTGAGAGACAGCTAAGAGCTTGAACCAGGCTGCTATTTTACCTTTTCCAATTAATAAGTATCTTGTAGGAAGACACTTTGAAACTATATAAATATCCTATTATTCCTTAAACCTTTACTAAGTAGTTTTGCTAGCCATTGATAACTCTTATCAGAATTAAATGTTGTTATGATAGTTCCAAATGGTGATTTCCTGATTCTGTCATTACGTTTACATTCATTAGTTAGTTTTCTGTGATTAGGAAGAGTTTTCTCTTAGCCCTCTCCATCTTACCAGTGTGGGATCATGATTCTTCTTTTATGCAATGGATTATAATCCTTAGTTTTTCTACTGTCATTATTTTGAAGCTCAAAATGTTCCAGATTTAGCCAGTGGGAATGCCCTTTAAATTGGCTTCTTTGTCCTTTTTGTTATATCCTCCTCATTGTTCTTTCAGTGTATCCTTAAATTCTGTCATCACAGAATTTTTCAGACTCATCTTGTATTTTCCCTGCCCCAGTACTGGAATTAGCCATTTCCCCAAGTAACTCTGGTTCCATTGAGTGGAAATAGTATTCTCAAATAAAGATCTAGGAACTAGGTGTTTACATGGTCATTGGGTTGTGTGTGTGTGTTTAGGCCCTCTTACCAGATAGAGCAAAAAAATAAAAAAAATACACAAATGTATAATATGTATTTTATGTATATATGTAATATATGCGTATCTGTATTTCTTTGTGTGTATTAAAACACCATGAGTTTACCTTGACACCTCTGATTCCAGTCCAGCACCACAAGGTTCAGTCTGTCCTCCCCCTTTACATATTTGTAACTACCTGCCCCAGTAATGAGAACCTAGCTCCCATTATCCACAGTCATCCACAGTATATTTACTTTGTGCGGTGTTAGAAAAATAAAAGCAGTTTCAGAATATATTTATGCCTGTATATAATTACCAAGAGAGTATATAGTTCAAAAGCTGTGTTTAAAAGTTATTTAGGTTACTTCTCCCTCCCCTTAGCCTCACTTCAGTGTGGTTATAGAATTCATTTGAAATATAGTTCAGGTTATTTTTTCAGTTTGTATTCCTAAATTTTAGTGTTTTCTCCCTGTTGTTTTTATTTGTTTTTTTAGTTTATGCTTTATCTATTCTTTGTTTATTTCTGTACAAATGAGCAGATAAATTTATATTTTTTTCCACCTTGTTAAGAAATGTCATATTCTAGATATTCTTTGGTACTTTAGATTTTTTACTTACAGAATATCCTGGAAATTCACAATACATCAATTCATAAAGATCTTCCTTGTTCTTTTTTACAGCTATATAGTATTATTACTCCATTGTGTGAATGTATTGTAGTTTATTCAACTCACTCTCCTATGTATAGATGTATAGTGTTTTTTCAGAATTTTGTAATTGCAAAGAATGCTGCAGTGACTGCCTTTGTGCCTGTATATTTTTACGTAATTGGAATGTGTCTTCAGGGTGTATTCCTAGAAGTGGAATTGCTGGGTCAGAAGGTAAACAGATAGGTAATTTTGTTAAATGTTGGCATTCCCAGAAGCAAATTGTGAGTGTGTTTGCCCAGAGTCTCAACCACAGTGTCTTATTTGGAAATTTTTGCCAATTTGATGGGGGAACAAGGGCATCTCACTGTACTTTTCATTTACCTTTCTCTTTTAATAAGTGAAGTTGAATATCCTATTTACTAATGCCTAACTTTTAATTTTATTTTTGTAAATCATCTATTTATATCCTCTTCCTTTTCTTTTTTAAAAATTTATTTATTATTTTAGTAATCTCTACACCCAACATGGGGCTTGAACTCACAACCCCAAGATCAAGAGTCGCATGCTCCACCAATTGAGCCAAGCCAGGCGCCCCATCTATTCATATCTTCTTATATTTTCTGTCAGGTTTTAGTGTTTTCCCTTCAAATTTTATGTGCTAGGGATATCTTAACTATCATATATGTTACAAATATTTTCTTTTCTTCCCCCCATTTGTCTTTTGCTTTTGTTTATGGTGGACTTTTGTTATTGTTTCTTGGGGGGGGATCATGGAAAACATCAGTTTTTATGTAGTCAATTTATTTTTCATTGTCTGAATTTTCAGTCATAGAAAGCCTTTTTCTGTACCTGGATAAAGAGGAATTCACCCATGTTTTCTTCTAGTGCTTGTATAATTTCATTTTTTACTTTTTTATCCCTCATCCATTTGAAGTTTATTCTGTATGTTTTGAGACACAGATACCATTTTTGTTGTTTTTCCAAATGAATAACCAGATTAAAAAGTTCTGTTTTGCCCTTTAGTGAATAATCAATTTCTGAAATTACTTGAGTCTCTTTCTTAAGATTCTGTACTGTCAGTTCTCAGGCTTTTTTGGTGACAAGATCTCTTTAATACTGTTAAGTATTATTGAAGATCTCAAATGACTTTTGTTCATATGGATTATATAGGCATACCTTGGAGGTACTTGGTAGTCTGTGGACAGACTACCACAGTAAAGTGAATAACTCAGTAAAGCAAGGCAAATGAATTTTTTGGTTTCTCAATGCATATGCATATAAAAGTTAGTTTAAACTATGCTATAGTCTAAATTAAAGTGTGCTTATGTAGCAATATGTCCCCCCAAAACAGTGTATATACTTTAATTTAAAAATAACTTATTGTTAAAAATTTGCTAACCATCATCTTAGGTTTCAGTGAATTGTAATCTTTTTGCTAGTGTGGAAGATCCTGCCTTAGTGTTGATGGCTGATCAGGGTGATTGCTGCAGGTTGGGGTGGTTGTGGCAATTTCTGAACATAAGACAATGAAGTTTGCCACATTGATTGACTCTCTTTTTTCCCACAGTTTCTCTGTAGCATACAATGCTGTTTGATAGCATTTTACCCATAGTATAGAACAACTTTCAGAGTTGGAGTCAGTCCTTTCAAACACTTTTATCAACTATGTTTATGTAATATTCTAAATCCTTTGTTGTAATTTCAACAGTCTTCACTCATCTTCACCAGGAGTAGATTTCATCTCAAGAAGCCACTTTTCTTTGCTCACTCATAAGAAGGAACTCCTTCCTTATTCATTAAAGTTTGATCGTGAAGATTGTAGCAATTCAATCACATCTGCAGGCTCCAGTTGTAGTTCTCTTGCTGTTTCTACCAATTCTGTAGTTACTTCCTCCACTGAAATCTTCAACTCCTCAAAGTCATCCATGAGGTTTGGAATCACTTACTTCTTCCAAACTCCCATTAATGTTGATATTTTTGACCTTTTCCCATGAATCATGAATGTTCTCTATGACATCTAGAATGGTGAATCCTTTCCAGAAGGTTTTCAATTCACTTTAACCAGATTCTTCAGACAAATCACTATCTATGGCAGCTGTAGCCTTCTGAAATGTATTTCTTTAACAATAAGACTTGAAATAAAAATTTCTCCCTAATCCATGTTGTGTTAGCAGGAATGAAAACGTTAATCTCATTGTGCATCTCCATCAAAGCTCTTGGACTTAAAATATTCAGTAAACCATGTTGTAAACAGATGTGCTGTCATCCAGGCTTTGTTGTTCCATGTATAGAGCACAGGCAAAATAGATCTAGCATAATTCTTAAGGGCCCTAGGATTTTTGGAATGGTAAATAAACACTGGCTTCAACTAAAGTCACTAGCTGCATTAGCTCCTATCAGAAGAGCAGCCTGTCCATTGAAGCTTTGAAGCCAGGCATTGACTTCTCTCTAGCTATGAAAGTCTTAGATGGCATTTTTGAATAGAAGGCTATTTTGTGTACCTTGAAAATCTGTTGTTTAGTGTAGCTAATCTTCTGGATAACTTGCTGCAGCCTCTATATCAGCATTTGCTCCTTCACCTTGTACTTTTATGTTATGGAGATGGCTTCTTTCCTTAAACCTCACAAATCAATCTGTTCTAGCTTCAGACTTATCTTCTGTAGCTTCCTCACCTCTCTCAGCCTTCATAGAATTTAAGAGAGTTAGGGCCTTCTTCTGGATTAGGCTTTGACTTAAGGGGGTTTTACAGCTGGTTTGATCTTCCATCCAGACCAGAGAACTTTCTCTGTATCAGCAATACAGCTGTTTTGCTTTCTTAACATTCATGTTTACTGGAGTAGCACTTTTACTTTCCTTCAAAGCTTTTCTTTGTATTCACAGCTTGGCTGTTTGGCACAAGAAACCTAGTTTTTAGCCTGTCTTGACTTTCGACATGCCTTCCTCACTAGACTTAATTTCTAGCTTTTGATTAAAGTGAGAGTCATGTGACTCTTCCTTTCACTGCAACACTTAGAGGCCATTGTAGGATTATTAATTGGCCTAATTTCAGTATTGTTGTGTCTCAAGGAATAGGGAGGCCTGAGGAGCGGGAAGAGAGATGGGGGAACGGCTGGTCAGTGGAGCAGTCAGGACACGTTTGCTGATTAAGTTTGCTGTCTTATAAGGACATGGTTTGTGGCACCCCCAAACAATTACAGTAATAGTATCAAAGATCACAGATCACCATAGCAAATATAGTAATCATGAAAAATAAGAAATATTGTGAGAATTACCAAAATGTGACACAGAGACATGAAGTGAACAAATGTGGTCAGAAAATGGTGCTCATAGACTTGCTCAACACAGGATTGCTAGAAACCTTCAATTTATAAAAAAATGCACTATCTGTAAAGTGAAGCACAATAAAATGAAGTATGCCTGTATTTTATCCACTCAATCTGTCTTATACTGAGAGTGGTGTGTTAAAGTCTTCTTAGTGTTTCTGTATTTCCTTGGCATCTGTTGTAGTTTTTGCTTTGTAAAGATAGTCACTATGTTATTTGATACATAGATATTCATAAATGTTTTATCTTTATTTTGAACATTTTGAATTGCAACTTTTAACATTAATTCTTTTTGATTTGATTCTAATTTGCATATTGCATTTTCTGTGTTTCTTTTTCTACATGATATATTTCCTTTGTTCTTCTATTTTTTAAGTTCCTTTTGGTATTCAGGAAATTTTATACTTTGTTCTTTTGATTACTTTTCTGTGTATACCTTTTTAAAATGTCTTTATTCCCTTGCTTTCTTAATTAAACTCTTATTTTTTAATACACCTTTTATGTGGTTGTGATTATTTAATGGTATCCTTTCTCTTAGATTAGAATGTTGTGTTGTAGTTTTCTTCTGCTTCATAATTGTGTTTTTTGTGTGGGGGTTTCATCAGCTGAATTGCTTAGATTCTCATTTTTTGTTTTCTTTTTATAATAATTTTATATAGATGAAGACTGCTTCATTTTTGTGGGCAAGATTGGTGGCTTGGGATGGTTTACAAGATTCCTACTTCAAGAGCTCCCTTTTCTGGTAGTTCAACAAAGTATAGTGTGTTTATTGTCTTTTTAAGGAGAGGAATTAAAGGACCATCAATTTATTGGATGATGCTTTTTAAGGAGAAGTTGTAGGTCCACAATTTTTTTAAGCTTTTTTTTTTTTTAAGATTTTATTCATCTGAGAGAGACAGAGACAGAGAGAGCACAAGTAGGGGAGAGGCAAAGGGAGAGGGAGAAGCAGACTTCCCACTGAGCAGGGAGCCCGCTACAGGGCTCCATCCAGGACCTAGATATCATGATCTGAGCTGAAGGCAGACGCTTAACCATCTGAGCCACGCAGGTGCCTCACGTCCACAATTTTTAAAATTTAAGTCTTAAATTTCTCTTTTGCTTTTTCTTTTTACTACATGATTTCCACAGGATGTCTCCCTATTCCCTCTTAAAAATTCTTCTCCCTCAAAACATTACCTTTCCTGTGTGTGTACTTTTAAGTCCTTTTTAACCACTCAGTATCTATCTACCAGTACACTTTTTCAGTATTCTCACACTTAGGGTGACTTTTTCTTTCTGACTTGATTTTTAGGTTTGTACCTAGTTCTTTTCTCTCTTTTACAGTTTTTCCCAAACTGTCCTTGCTCTTCATGGAAGTTTGTAATGGGGGAGTGGGGAAAAGCTTGCTGGGATTTGCTTTGTACTTTCTACCTACAGATAATTTGAAGTTTAGATGTTCTATTTTCTGGTTGTACTGATGATATCAGTTTTGTGATGTTTTATTGGTTCTTTTTGTTCTTTAAAAGGAATGTAGAAGTGATTGTAATATGAACTCAAGCCTTTCATTTGTGTTGCATTCCTTGAACAGTTTTAAATAGTCGACTAATTGATGTCCTCGTTTTAGCTCAGTGTTTGTTTTTTTTAAAAAAGATTTTATTTATTTATTTGACAGAGAGCGAGCGTGCAAGCAGGGGGAGGGGCAGAGGGAGAGGGAGAAGCAGGCTCTCTACTGAGCAGGGAGCCCGACGTGGGGCTCGATCCCAGCACCCTGGGATCATGACCTGAGCCGAAGGCAGACGCTTAATGACTGAGCCACCCAGGTGCCCCTAAACTCAGTTTTTATAGTAATTTTAAAGTAATTTTGGTAGTCCTGTTTTTATTATGTTTAAGGTTTCATTGTACTGGCTCTAAAATATAAGGAAGAAACCCACAATAATACTCATATACAATATTTTAGAATCAGTTATATCTAAGTAAATATTCATAGTAGAATTAGGATTGATAGTTCCTGAAATAAATTTTGGAAGACAAAAAATAAGTTGGTGAATTTCTGTTAAAAATATTAAGGTCTTATTTTATGAGTTTACAGTAATAATTATCTTTTGTTCTTGTTACAGTTGGTGGTGTCCTTACTTCTGTGCCTTCTGGACTGGATTATGGCCTTACCTCTAAAGACACTGCTCCAACCAGTCCATGCTACAGGAGCAGAAAATGATAAAATAGAAAAATCTGTCCTCAATTGCATTTATAAGGTCAACTTGTTTGCTTTATTGTTTATTTGGTAACCAACAGTTTTTAAAACTGAAAGAAATCACATTTCTTAGTATTACATTCTTATTTTTTAGAGCTAGGTATTTTCTAAGAATGTAGATTTATCTTACAGGACCTAAGGATAATTAAAACTTCTTCCTACAAGACACAGTTGTTTCACTGCAGATTTGTGAAAGGAGTCAAATCTTTGTTGAATGTGAGAATCATTAGTTAAATTTTATTCATTCTTCTTTTTAAGAAGTATTAAATTTACCTTGATTGAAGAACTAAGTTTTAAAATGCTTAAAAATTTTGTCAAGCTCTCATATTACCAGTTGACATTTTTTTCCCTTTTATTTATCTTCACTGAAAAGGAAAACTATGTTTTTCCCTCATACTTCCAGGTATTACATGGGTGTGTTTATGGAGCTCAGTGTTTTAGCAATCCAAGGTATTTTCCAATGAGCCTCTCTGATTTGGCATCTGTAGATTATGATCCTTTTATGCATTTGGAAAGTCTGAAAGAGCCTGAACCTCTGCACTCTCCGGATTCAGAACGATCTTCTAAGCTTCAGCCAGTGACAGAAGGTAAAATGAATTCACTTCAGGACCATATTATTTCTTGGGTTCTCTCAAAATATGATTTGAGGGCATAGGGAGAAATAATGGAGATGATATATCTTACTTTGTAGTTGTTTACCTCATCATGTATATTATACCAAAGTTCATTTTTATTTTAAGAAATAACTTCAGAAACATAGTTACTAAGATTATATGTGATGACATTCCATTTATACTTCTAGTTAAGTTATTCTGATAAGTTCTTTTTGATATTTTATACATCATAGAATTTATGTAATGGAATAACAGATTTAGCTTTGGAGCCTAACAGATGTGGTACTGAATTTTAACTCTCATTTACTAGCTGAGTGGCTCTGTTTCCTTATTTGTAAAATGGGGATAATAATATTCATTCCTTCATGGTTGTTTTGAGTACTGAATAAGATAGGATATGTAAAACCCTTTGCATAGTTCTTGATAGGTAGTGAACTCAGTAACATTTTTTTTAAGCCACATTGTTTCTACATTCAGAGAGTTTACTTTCTGATATAAGGGAAAAATGTAAATAAATAAATATGAGTATAAAAGTAAAACTACATTTAAGAATTATGGAGGTAGCCCAGAGGAACTTAGCAGTTATTGAAGGGTTTTTAAGAAGGTTATATACATGATAAATTTAGTATTAAGAGCAGTTTGAAAACAGTATTTTATATGGCCCATGTCTTCCACCTGTTTCTGTAAATAAAGTTTTATTTACATCCATACTGTTCATTTTTATATCATGATGGCTGCTTTTGTGCAGCAACAGTAGTGTTGTATAGTTGTGAAGGAGATCATGTGGTCCATAAAACTGAAGATTTTTACTATCTGGCCCCTTACAGAAAGAGTTTGCTGATCTTTGGTATGTTAGATTGGGGAGCAATTAGCAATTAGGGAGGTTAACACAGGAGCAGAGAGACCAATGATGAGGCTATTGCAGTAGGCCAAACAAGAATTGCTAAAGGCTTAAATTGGTTAGATTTCCCCCAAAGTAGACCAAGAATATGAGAAAGGTTAGAGGTTTGAGAGGGAAAATGAGGAGGGCAGTGTTGGAAATGGTTTAGTTTGGGGTGCCTGTTGATTATACACATGAAGACCACTAGCAGGCAGTTTGTTGTATAGCAGAGAGGTCATTGTTAGGAATATTTATTTGTGTGTGTGCATGTGTGCACACACATGTGTGCATGCCTGTGTTTGTGTGTGTTCTGAGAAAAGTTGGAAAGGAAGGAAAACTGGGAGAGGGTAATTTCTCAGAAATAAAAACATGAAAAGGGTATTTAAAAGACTGGGCTACTGGTATTAAGTGATAGGTCAGATATAGAAAGGCTGAAAAATATGTCTGCTTTAATTTCAGCAGAGAAGTAGGAGGGAGAAGTGGATGGCTGCTGGTTGAGGAGCAAGGAGTAGTTAAAGAAATAGAACCATTTATCAAAAGTACTCTTTATAGAAGCTTGACTGTGTAAAAAAGAAAAGTGGTAAGACAGTGGTGAGCTAAAGGATAATTCAGGGGTAAGGGAGTTCTAAGGATGAAGAGAATTGAACTTTTAATTATAAGCTGAGAAGGAAGATGAGAAGGGGATCATTAGTATGGCAAAGTTCCTGAAGAGTGAGCTAGAAAGTATAGGTGCTAATATTAGCCCTTATCCTGACCCAGAAAGAAGAAGAAAATGGAAGTAAATTAAGGGAATTGGCAGAAGTTATTGAGAGTCCAACAGAAAATGGAAACTACAAAGTTTTGGTTGTACTAGTCAGCATTCAGTAAGGTGGATGTGGTGGAAAAACATGGGAACTATGGCTTTCAGAGTATTACTATATGATTTAGCCATGGAATTTAGGCTTGGTGAGGATTAAACTGATGCTTGGAAATGTCTTATAAGTTAGAAGAAAATGGAATGATCCAGTGAATCATAACGTAGATATTGGCAATAAGAAGTTAGAACAGTGATTCTCAGGGGGTACCTGGGTGGCTCAGTCGGTTAAGTGGCTGCCTTCGGCTCAGGTCATGATCTCAGGGTCCTGGGATCGAGCCCCGCAACAGGCTGTCTGCTCAGTGGGGAGCCTGCTTCTCCCTCTCCCTCTGTGCTCTCTCTCCATCTCTCACACACTCTCTCTCCCTCAAAAAAAAAAAAAAAAAAAAAGAACAGTGATTCTCAGTCTTAGTTGCATATTAAATTACTGCTGCTCTGTTCCCATCCATAGAGATTTTGAAATCTTGTTTTGGGATAGCTAGGATTTTTTAAAGCTTTGCAGGTGATTAATATGCAGCTGAGGTTTACAATCATGGAGAGCATCAGTATGTTAAGACAGCAGTTTGTTGGTTTTTTTTATTATGTTAATCACCATACATTACATCATTAGTTTTTGATGTAGTGTTCCATGATTCATTGTTTGCGTATAACACCCAGTGCTCCATTCAGTATGTGCCCTCTTTAATACCCATCACCAGGCTAGCTCATCCCCCTAACCCCCCTTCCCCTCTAGAACCCTCAGTTTGTTTCACAGAGTCCTTAGTCTCTCATGGTTTGTCTCCCCCACCGATTTCCCCCCCTTCATTTTTCCCTTCCTATTATCTTCTTCTTCTTTTTTTTTTTTTTAACATATAATGCATTATTTGTTTCAGAGGTACAGGTCTGTGATTCAACAGTCTTACAGACAGTAGTTTTTAAAATGAGTTTTTAAGCAGTAGAACCCCTTCACAAGGAGTTTTACATAAAATAAATTTCACAAGGAAGCCCAATTTGTAAAACTTCTAGAAGTAGAGCTGCAGCAGGGTGGAGGCCTGGGATCCTGACTTCTCTTCTGTCCATCTCCAAAAGCATTCTCCAAGGGTTCTACAAAACAGAATGGGAAAATCACTAGATTAGTTGATTGTGGTCAAAGAGTAAGCTGTTAAGGAGGAATTTGGTTTTTAAAGGTGGAATAGTTATAAATGATTAAGACATCTAAGATGTGGCCATGATAATGGATTGGTGATGTAGAATGCAAGTGAAGATAGGAAGTTACACATCAGAGAAATAGGGCTAGAGTTTGGGGTTGACCACAAGTTGCTAATAGTTTGTCCAAAACACAAATACAGTTGACCTGACCAACAAGGCTTGAACTGTGCAGGTCCACTTACACGTGGGTTTTGGGTTTTTTTGTTTGTTTTTTTACTATAAATGTATTTTCTCTTCCTTATGATTTTCTTTTCTCTAGCTTACTTCATTATAAGAATACAGTATATAATACATATAATGTTCAACATATGTGTTAATCACCTGCTATGCCATTGGTAAGGCTTCTTGTCAACAGTAAGCTATTGGGAGTTAAGGTTTTAGGAAGTCAAAAGTTAAACATGGACTTTCAGCTGCTTGGGGGGCAGTTGGCGCCTCTAAACCCCATATTGTTCAAGGGTCAGCTGTATACAAGTGAAATAGGAGTGTAAGATATAAATTTTAGCTCAGATATAGTAGAGATATACTGGGAAGTATAGTATAGCAAAATAATTTAGACGATAATTGATACATAGGCAACTTTACATATTATTTCTTTAGATTTGGTATAGTAAAAAGGAGTGTTTATTTTACTTGAAAACAAAGTTATATGAAAAGATTAGTTGTTTTTTTTAGGGTAAAATGATAAAGTTTGATTGAGGGTATTATAGCGCACTCGTTAAACAGTGAAATAAATAGTTTACTTATGTAAAGAGAGGTTTTAATGTATTTCAGACAAAATCTATACCGTTAATAATCACTGGAGAAGATACAAAAGTAAAGATTTAAATAGAAGAACTTTATATTGATACCAGATAGTCTTTGGAGTATTATTCTCTGAATGTATTAAGTTGTACCCTTTGGACTTTCTTAAAGATATAAAAGACCAGACAAATGCAGACCCTTTTAGGAACAGCTGTAGGCCAACAGCAGGTGATTCTGTGGTTTGTAGTGACTACATGCTGTGTTGTTGTGTTTTTTTAACGTGGCAAAGTGACTAATCACTGTGCCCTTGTCTAAGGCATGCTTCATCATCTTCAAGTACTTTTTTGGCCAAAGGTTTCTAAACATAGAGTGTCCCTAATAAGCTCAGTATTGGATTGAACAAGTCTGATTTGAGAACTGTTGGCAGGAGTAGCTGTAATTATTAAATTCACTAAATAATAAAGCAAGGTAGTAAAGTTGGCTTTTTGTCAAATGGCAGTAGTCTTATTAGCAAAAAGTCATCATTTGCAGGGTCAGAGTGAAAGGCTCCAAAGGATTCATTCTGTCCTAATTATAGTTTCACCTATACATATTATGCAAAGCTAATATTTAAAGCATTTGCCAAAATTAACTTCCTCTGCATGTTCTATTACAGTGCAATGAATTGCTGCAGCTTTTTATGTCTTGCTGCTTTTGTATGCCATAATAATCTGTAATTATGGGTTTGCTGCAAATGCTGTAGGGTTTGTTTAATCTGACAATCTGAAATGACAACCCTGAATAGACTTATTTAAATGAATGCCAGTTACACAAAGCCTTAGAAGCATCGATATCTTCATGTTGCATTTTCTCATAAAGCTAGTTATTTAGAATTTCATTTTGAATATTTAGAGAATTTCATGTATTTTCTTTATATCTAAATAGATATGTAGAAGAGAGATACATACGTTCTATAGTTTATAACTCAAAAAAAAGCTAAATAAAATTGCCCAATTAACAAGTTGAGATATTTTTATCCTCTCATATTTATATATATCCTGAAGAGAAGCAGCTTAAGAAAGAAAATGCTGTTACCTACATTTAAAATCTAAATATATTTTTTAAGTATTCTCAGTGTTAATAATTATGACAGATTTGTGAACAAGCTCATTTGAACTTCATTCCCACTATCTCTTCCTTTGAGAAGAGGATGTATAGGATGGACAGGTACCTGGGCTTAGCGGTTTGTTGTAGGTAAAGAGCGGGGCTTGTTCTTGCAGTTTATTTATAAGTAAGTTTGAAAAAGGAACTCAAAACCTGTGTTACTTATAATGCCCTCAAAATTGAATGATTTATATTGCTTCTGTTATATCCAATTTTTTATATGAGTTTTCAATTCATCTTTATAAGAAATCTGTATTATTTTTAGAGAAAAATGGGGTTTAAGGTGTTGTATGTGATTTGTCCGTGATCACAGCTCAGGCCAGAGACAGTGTCAGGAATTTGTCTCTATTTTGTGATCTGCTTCTATTAAATTACATTCTTTCACTTCAGAAATGCTCTGCAAAAAAGATTCACTGCGTAGAACAAGTCACCTATTTAAGGTTATCACTCAAAAGGAAAGAAGAAGGAAAAAGAACAAAATTTTTTTCATACATCAAAAAATTTTTTAGTGTCTTTAATTATGATTTTTACTACCATTTATAATGTGATTTAGTCTTATTTAAATGAGCTTTTCAATTGATCTGGCCCTTTTATATGGTAATTTACACTAAATAATACTATTTTGAAGTTACTATACAAAGAAAAAATAAATTTTGAATTCATTATTTCCATATGTCACAGTGATTTGCCAAAAGAAAGGGGCATTTTAAAAAAAGAGAAAAATATGAAAATTAGAGTTGTGGTAAAGATGGAAATAACACTGAACTGGGAAGCAAAAGACCAGCCTTGTTCTTCTATGGCAGATAAATCCCTTAACTCGTGTACCCACTTGTCCTCATGTTCAAAATGACAGGTATTGGCTAAATTGTGTGTAAGGCGTGAACGTTCATTAAATTCTGTTATAATGAGGGAAGGGAAAGCAGACAGTAGATTCAAGCCACCCCTGTGTTTTTCATCATACAGTGACATATCTTTTTACTTGGCTTGCATATGGTCTTAAAAATGTAGGATTGAATTAAGGTTAATCATTTAGTGTTATCTATGGCTATCAGAACTAGCCATATTTATAATTGAAGAACAACTCAATGTAATTGGAACTTTTTAAGTAAACTGAAAAATATTCATATATGTATATAGTCACAAACTTGATTGATAATGGAAGATTAAAATTTTGATACTCTAACATTTCAAAATCAACCAAAGGCCAGAGAAAACTGTTCTTTCTTAGAGTTGGAATAATGGAAGAAAATGTTTTTGCTATTAATGGCACAGCTGCTGGTTTCTTGCTGATCTCTGCCTATAGCCAGTGTGTTGGTTCCAATCTTGAGGGCTGTGGCCTTGAAAATGTAACACTATTCTTTTCTCTTGCCTCTTTTTAAGTATCATATGAGCAGTGCACAAGCTAATGTCCTTATAAACTCTTTTTTTAAGATTTTATTTATTAATTTGAGAGAGAGCCAGAGAGCACAAGTGGGGGAGGAGAAGTAGTCTCCTTGCCAAGCAGGGAGCCTGATGCGGGGCTCCATCCCAGGACCCTGGGATCATGACCTAAGCTGAAAGCAGCCATTCAACCGACTGAGCCACCCAGGCGCCCCTGTCCTTATAAACTTTTAAAGTAGGGTTTACTGAGATATAATTCACATAAAATAAAATTTATTCTTTTTTATGTGGGAATTTTACTATATATTATGTTGGCTGGTTACACGGTTCTGTACAGTTACCAAAATACATCACAAAGTACACTTAAAACTAAGGAATTTATTACATGTAGATAATGCTTTGATCATCAGGATCAAATCTAGATTTAGATTTAGATCAAATGTAGACTTATTATGGGAGGTAGGCCATAGTATTCCCAAATGATTAAAATCCTTTCAGAATATAAACAATACTCAGACAAGATCACTCTTAAGACTATGGTAGAACATTATGGAGACACAGTCATTCTGTAATCATGTCTATAATTACATAAGGCAAGAACACAGTAAACATACAAACACACAACTAAACATCCTAACATGAATGATGAGTACTTCCTTACCAATGACAGCTCTGCCCCTGCCTCCTGGATGAAAAGTATCAAGATAATCCTCACCGAACTGTCTCCACTTCCTGATACCACTTATTTCAGAACTGGCTTCCACATCAGCCCTACTTAGGATCACACTGGCAGTCTTTGGCTAGTGGGCTTTGACAAGTTATTGTCTATCTCCACTTCTTCCTTCCTCCCTTTGTTCTCTCTCTGTGTTTTCTGCCTTCTTTTTCCCTTTTCCTCTTCCTTGAGGTCCTGACATTTCAGGCCTCTGAGTGCTATATTCTTTGAGTTTTCTTTTTTTACTCTTTGGTATGATTTTTTTAAAAAAATTACTCATATGGGTATGCTCTTTATTTGTTTTCCCTAAGGTGTTTAAGGAAGGAAGGAAAAATGCTTCTTACATACAACCTAACTGCTCAGACTAGGTCACAATGACCCAGAAGAGTATCTTACAAAAATATAATACATAAGCAGGCCCATAAAATTTGCTTTCCCTTAAAATAAAGTTTTTGTGGCATATACTGGCTATACCAACTCACAGTTTTAATTGATTCTGACTCCTAAAGTTTAGTGAAGGATTACTTTTCTCTGAAACTTTTATATCATTGATAAAAGCCATTATTAAATGACATTTAAGGCATGCTGTCTCTCTGAATTTACTCATAAGAAACTTATCATTTGGATTTCATTGGCTTTCTAATGTGTGTACTAAGTGATTTCAGGTGATTTATAATACTTGCGATCCTTCTTTTAAAGTATTGATTTACATATAAAGACTTAAGTTTAAATTATGACTCCATAAGCAAAATTTTGTAAAAGGGCTTTTTCATAAAATTAACAAAACTTCATCAAAGAGAGTTTTCTTCTTTGCCATCATTCCTGTAGTACAGAATCTGAATTGGAAATATTCATATTTACTCTAATATTTTAATGTGATTTTGATAATGTGAGGAAATCTCCATTTGTTGTCTAATAATTTCATTGTTAACATGACTTCCTAGGAAGCAGCAGTATTCCCACTCACTTATATTTCTTATTTCTAGTGAAAACTCAAATGCAACAAGGATTAATATCTATAGCCGCCCGCACTGTTATTACACATCTGGTAAATCACTTGGGCCATTATCCAATGAGTGGTGGTCCTGCTATGTTAACAAGTCAGGTGTGTGAAAATCATGACAATCATTACAGTGAAAGTACTGAACTTTCTCCTGAACTCTTTGAGAGTCCAAATATCCAGTTCTTTGTGTTGAACAATACAACCTTAGTCTCCTGTATCCAGATCAGATCAGAAGAGAGTATACCCGGAGGAGGTTTATCTGCTGGCCTTGCATCAGCCAATTCAAATGTTAGAATCATAGTACGTGATCTCTCCGGAAAATATTCATGGGATTCTGCCATCCTGTATGGACCACCTCCTGTGAGTGGCTTGTCAGAACCTACATCGCTCGTACTTTCATTGTCTCGCCAAGAGAAGCCAGAAGAGCCTCCTACATCTAATGAATGCTTAGAAGATATAACAGTAAATGACGGGATTTCCCTCCAGTTTAAAAGAGGATTTAGAGAAACTGTACCAACTTGGGATACCATAAGAGATGAAGAAGATGTTCTTGATGAGCTTTTGCAGTATTTAGGTATAACTAGTCCTGAATGCTTACAGAGAACTGGAATTTCACTTAATATTCCTGCTCCACAACCTGTGTGCATTTCTGAAAAACAGGAAAATGATGTTATTAATGCAATCCTTAAGCAGCACACAGAGGAAAAAGAATTTGTTGAGAAACACTTTAATGACTTAAACATGAAAGCTGTGGAGCAAGATGAACCAACACCTCAAAAGCCTCAGTCAGCATTTTATTATTGCAGATTGCTTCTTAGTATATTGGGAATGAATTCCTGGGACAAAAGGTAAGAATAAAAGAGAATTTTTTTTTTTTTTTAACATTAGTCTTATTCATCTTTTGGTCAGGCATTTTAGTTTCTCTTCTTTTCCCCACTAAATTTTATCTACCAATTAGTTCTTTGGCTTTTGGACAGATTTTTTTTTTTTTTTTTTGAGATGACTGAGTTATATCAGGATTCAAGGGAATAAAAAGATAACTCAATAAATTAACTATTAACATTTTCATAATGACTAGTACAACTTTCTGACTTTGAAATTACAGCTCATATAATTGAAAAAAAATCTCATTTTTCCAACCTTCACGTAAGCTAATAGGAAAAACTTTTTTTTCTTATAACACTTCTGACACCAGATGTGTGGGTTTTCCACACCAGGCAGGTCCAGCACTAACTGGAGTTAGCACAAACAGATGAGGGCTCAGACCCACAAGACTGCCCCCCACTTCAGACACCAGTTGAAAGTCCATATTTCTGACCAGCTAGCTATAAATGAGATAACTACCTCCTCAGGTTTGATAATTAGCTATAATGGCTCACAAAACATTTACTTCCGTTCAGCAGTTTATTATAAAAGGTAGTTAAAGGATACAGATGAACAGACAAATGGAGAAGTACATAGGATGAAGTCTGGAAGGTTCCCAGGTGCAGGAGCTTCTGTTCCTGTGGAGTTGGGGTCTGCCACCGACCCAGCACATTGAATTGAGTTGACTAACCAGGAAGCTCTTTGAACCTCATGGTTTAGGGATTGCCTTCACAAAGGCATGATTAATTATTAACTCAGTCTCCAGCCAGTCTCCCCTCCCCATAGGGGTGGCTGAGAGTTCCAAGCTTCTAATCATGGTTTGTGCTTTCAGATGACCAAGCCCCATCCTAAAGTTATCCAGGAGCCCACCAAGCATCACCTCATCAGAACAAAAGATTCTCCTATTACTAGGGAAATTGCAAGAGATTTAGGAACTCTATGTAAGATGTTCCTGTCACCTTCATTGCTCAGGAAATAACAAGAGTTTTAGGAGCTCTGTGTCAGGAACTGGGGCAGAGCCCAAATACATATTTCTTATTATGTCACATAAGCCTAACGGGTTTTTTTGACAAATAACAATATGAGCTTTTCTTGTTTGTATCAGAGAAGTTAACTCAAGATTTATCATCAAATCAAGAAAAGAATCTGTATTTCATTTTTTTAAATTTTGTTTTCTTACACATGTTGCAAAAAGCTTGCAGTTAACACAAAGTATTCATGTAAGTTGGGTAAGAGTTAAATGAAAAGGCATTAGATTTAAATCAGAAGAACCAGGTTAGAGTCATTTAACCGTTAAGCTTCAGGCTATAAGTTGAGGAAATAACTCCCACCTCACATAATGGTGAGAATTTAGATAATGTACATAAAATACCAAATTGTACACTAGTATAAAGCATCATTATACATTTATTTTTTAAATTTCTATGATACTAAAAGCTGTAGGGATCTGGAAGACACAGCATTATTTATTGTTTTTGTTCAATTTGTAATAGGGGAACTCAGGTATCACTGGACAAATAAATCTTAAAGTAATTTAAATGCAGGTGAAGCACTGAAATGGAGTTCTACTTGCTTGACTAGTGTTTATAATCTTACTTAATTTAAACCCTTCCATTTATTAGAAGGGAGTATTCTCTGCTTTATGGGGAAGACATGTCAGGAATACAGTTTGCCTTATGGTATGTCCAAATGTAGGTAATTGCCACTCATGTAAGTGCATTCTACTCTCTCTTGCTGTAGGATGGTCCATATATTGGCTCTTGAGAAAGATTAAAGGTGGGAAGCTATATTTTACCACAGCAAGCATTGATTTCATGAATATAATTTGTACGTATTTAGCACATAAAGAATGTATTTGGTAAAATGTCTACATTGCTTCATAGTGTAAAAAATACCTGTAAGATAACATAAGGAAAAAAGCAAATTCCATCTGGATTACATATGCTTACTTGATAATGATTTAGATTTTGTGAATATTTTATTTCTCATTAGGAGCAACTTTTTTATATATTTTTAGGAAACTCTTGAGAAGGAACCTGCAAGTACTTTTATCCATTTTTCTGGATATGAGTTTGAGAAGCTCACAGCATCTGCAAGGAAAAATTGAAGTTATTAATAATGATCCACTGACAGAAATATATGAGGGCATTGGTAGAAATAATGACATTTATTCTTTATATTTCTTTTAGGGTCTGTTCTCCTTTGTGTTAGAAGTATGAAAAGGCAAGAAAAGTGTTTAAAAGTTGCATGAGTAGAGTGGAAAGTATTTCCGGGACTGTCATGTCATTCACTGCAAAGGTGATGAAAATGTTTATAAATCTCTCTATTTAGGAGGAGCTTTCATCTCTTGAAGAAAAATGAGAAACTACTTAGAGAACTTAGGAACTTGGATTCAAGACAGTGGTAAGTTGTTGGAGAACCTTCAGATTTATAACTAGCAACTGTCAGCTATTTTTATTTATGTGTGAATAATACTGTATTGTTGACTTTCTGAACAGAAACATTTGATTTACTTATACCTTTAAATAAACTTTTTGAAAAAAATGCAGGGCTATATTAAAATGTTTGCTATCTTTGAATAGTTTATACCTTTTTAATGCATTTCAGAATTCTTTTGATGGCAGAAATCTAACTGAATTTAAAAAATGTCCTTTGGTTTTCCCATAGTTAGACGTTCCAAATATACCCTTTTTGATTAGTCTTGGAGGTCTCAAGTGAAATGACTGGTGAATACAAGCTAGTACATGGGGCACCTGGGTGGCTCAGTCGTTAAACGTCTGCCTTCGGCTCAGGTCATGATCCCAGGGTGCTGGGATCGAGCCCCGCGTCGGGCTCCCTGCTCCACAGGAAGCCTGCTTCTTCCTCTCCCACTCCCCCTGCTTGTGTTCCTGCTCTCACTATGTCTCTCTCTGTCAAAAAAATAAATAAAATCTTAAAAAAAAAAAAAGCTAGTACATACAAAAAATATTAATGGAGCAAAGAACATGGATATAGGTTACTATATTGCTATAAATCTGATTTCTCATTAAGCTCTTGGATATGTACCTGTTTATATTTGGGTTTTGATGTGTAAAATCTTGTTATATCATTATTTTAATGGTATCTAGGTTCTTGATGTATAGTATATGAACAAGAGTTCTGGGAAACCAGTACTAGAAACTGCAAAATATTACTTAACTGGAATTTCTGTAAGGTTGACATATATATATGTTACTTTCTTGTCTAGACTCTAAATAAAATTTATGGATAGGGGTTTTTTGGCAATATAACTAGAAACACATTAATAAAGCAATACTTTGAATACCTGTATTTCTGAGATCTCAAATCCACAACCTACTTAATATCCATTTCTCACTCTCTCACATCTTAGTCAGTTGGTGTTTTGTACTTTCATGTTTCCAGTTTTTTGCTTTTTCTGTTCCCACAGTCAGTCTGCCACCCACCTCTGATTTCATTTGTCCTGTCAGCAGACTCACACATTGTCAGCTATAAAAATGCCATTTCTGACATCCTCAAAACTATTCTTCCACTTAAGTATATATATGTATATATATGACTATAATCAATTCTCTGATCAGAATCATTCTTTTTTTTTCAGATTTTATTAGAGAGCACACGCACGTGTGAGTTGGTGGGGGGAGGAGCAGAGGGATAGAGAATATCAAGCAGACTCCCCACTGAGCACGGGGCCTGATACAGGGCTGGATCTCAGGACCCTGAGATCATGACCTGAGCTCAGGTCATGATCCTGGAGTCCTGGGATCGAGTCCCGTGTTGGGCTCCCTGCTCAGCAGGGAGTCTGCTTCTCCCTCTGACCCTCTTCCCTCTCGTGCTCTCTATCTCTCATTCTCTCTCTCTCAAATGAATAGATAAAATCTTAAAAAAATGAAAACAAAAAACAAAAAAAACCCGAGAGTCTGTCGCTTAACCATCTGAGCCATGCAGGTGCCGCCCCTGATCCAAATCATTCTTAACATCTACTTTCTCTACTCCTAGGCAGCAGTATGTTACTAGAGAAAATAATCAAACCAGTGTGATATAGAGAGTTACTGTAGATTCATGCTCCTTTACTTCAGCAATACCTTCTCTACTGTTTGGCAAATTTCTTATCCCTTGTTCACTTCTTACTTTGGTTCTCAGAGTAATTATTATAAACCACTTCTTTGTTCTTTAAGCCCTTCATTATAGTCAAATATCATCTCTAATCTAACCTCACTGAGGATTCAATTCAAATGTTTGACCTCCTATGTAAAAGATAGTCTGGTAGAACAATAGTTCCTAACCTTTCTTCCTCCACCCATTCATATTTAACACACATTAGTCACACTTCTAATTAAATCCAGTGATTCTGACCATTGGAGAATTCATTTGAAACAAACTACCATGCCAGCAGTATTCTATAGGAATGCAAAATAAACAAGATTATTCATTCCTTTCCCATATCAAACAACCCCACCTTATAACTTCTCTTTAAAATTTCTATATTGAGCCATCTTTTCTTGCTCACCTTCAGTTTCAGAAAAACCTTTTTTTTTTTCTATCTGTACTTCTACCTCCTACCTTCTCTGCTTGCTCTAGGATCTTCAAAAAGTTACCACATCTTTATCTTGTATTTCTACTTACCCCTTTACCATAAGCACACTTGTTACGTTTCTTTAAACAAAAGAAAACAAAACTGTCCTCAGTTACCATCCTTTCAAGCTATAGTCTATCCCTTTCATGCCTTTTACTACCAAATTTTATGAGAAAATATCTTTACTCACTTCTTTGGTTTTTGTGGTTTTTAGCTTTTTTCAGAATAATCTTTTAAAAATAATGTTTAGTTTCTCTAGTTATTATAGAAAATATACAATAGAAAAATAAACCATATATTTATAACACTATTCTGAACATTTGTTTATTTTCAGTCTTTTTTGATATAGATATGATTTTTTTGTCTTAAAAAACTGGAATCCTAGTAATATGTATGCAGTAAGTTATCTTTTAAAAAGGACTTGATCATGTTGGGAGCATTTTCCTCAGGCATTTTGGTATTTTTCAAAAATAATTTTTTATGGCGCCAAGTTCTATGATTATTGGACATTGACATTGTTTTTAATATCTTGCCCTAGGATAGGTTCCTAGAAATGGAATTATTACATCAAAGCATAACAACTTATTTCAGGCCATACATATTACAGAATTACTTTTCACTAAGTACTAATTTCTAATTAGTACCAACATTATGTAAGAACACTAATATAACTTCAACCTGGCCAACACAAGGTATTGGTCATATTTTCTAAACCTTTCCTAGCTTGGGAGGCAGATCATGGTATCTCTTTAATTTATTGTTCTTTACTACTAGTGAAGTTAATATCTTTCATGTATTTGTAAGAAATTTTAATTTTTTTTCGAATTCCCTCTTAGTGTCCTTTTTCTATTTAAAAGGAAATTTTTCTTAATTGCAGGAGCTCTTCTACGTATGTGTGTATCTAAGGATTAACTTTTGTACTTATTGTGGGAGTTTTCCCAGTTAGTTGTTTGGCTTTCGGTTTTCAATAACTTCATATTGTTTAGCATACAGGTTTTTCATTTTTATGTAATTTTGTTTCTCAGTCTTCTTTCTTTGGATTTTTTTCAGTTGCTTATTGTGCTTAGAGAATTCTGTCTTGAAATCAATTAAATGTCTGTATTTCCTTCTAGATCCATAATTACTTGGTAGGAATGGTAATTATTTTACATTTAATTCTTTATTTCTCCTGGAATACATTTTAGTTTATGGAATAAGAAATGGAACTAGCTTGAATATTGGAGAATAGTCTATTTCCATAATTTGTTGAATAATCCATACCGTTCTCATTGATTTGATGTTTCCTTTATCAAATATTAACCGGTTTATATCAGAGCTATCTGTTCATTTCTGTTGAGTTGTCTATCAGTTTTATGCAGATGTTAGTGATTATTATAGCTTTGTAATTTAATATCTGATAGACCCAGTCTTCTTCCTCACCCTATTCATCCGTATCCTTCTTTTCTTTGATACTATCACCTGTTTATTCTTCTGGATACATGTTAGAATTACGCTCTTGTTTTCCAGAAAAAAAGTCCCATTGATATTTTGGTTTTGATTTACAATAAAACTTTCATTTGGAGAGAATAAGTACATTTGCTATCATCATTCTTCCCATTCATAATCATGGTGTGTTTTTCATTTATTCTGAGACCCAGACATTACTTTTAGGGTTATTTTATTGTTGTTATGATATTCGAAATAGAATTTTTTTCCCATTATATTTTGCTGTCCAAATACTTTAGTGAATTCTCTTATTTATTTTAAACATTTTATAGTTGTCTATTCAGATCTGTTTAGGTATGTAATTACCTTACACATAATCTCTTTTCTAAAAGTTATGCCTATTTTTGCTTATATCATACTTTATTGCATTGACTAGAACTTCCACTACAGTGTTAAATACGTATTATAAGAGGGACATCCTGTTATTGGAATCTTTTTCAGCATCTATTCAAATTTTCATATAGTTTTGCTTTCTTAACTGACGTATATTATACGTGGTATCACTAGATTGCTAATATTAAATAATTCTTGGAATAACCTACTGGGTCATTTGACTTCTGTTGTGTTCAATTTACTAGACTTTCATTTTGAATTAGGGTATAGCCCATTTCTAAGCATATTCTATATTTATTTAATTTTTTATCTGTTCTTACTATGTTTAGAGTTAAGATTATAGCCAGCCTCATGAAATGAATATTATCTGTTGTTTGAAAATTTGGAATAACTAGTAAAATTTCTAATTCTTTCAGTTTTTTTCATCATTGTTAGCCTCTGGGTTTTCTTTCAGCTCTTGGGTCAATTTCAGTGTTTTTGGTTTTTTACAAAACTCCTTTTCATTGAGGTTTTCAAAATGCATACTAATACAGATTAGTACATACACACATATCATAATTCTGCTATATTCCTTTTCTCATTTTAGTTTTGTGGGATTTTTTTTGCTCTTTTTAAAAAATTAATTTATGTATTCTCATATCATCCCTTCAAAGCTTTTTCCCTCTAGCTTTATTGAGATAACATTGACATACAACATTGTGTTAGTTTATGGTTTAAACATAATGATTTATAAATATATATATTGTAAAATGATTTCTACAATAAGGTTAGTTAACACATTCATCACTTCACATAGTTAGAATTTTTTGTGTAATGAGAACTTTAAAAATCCGCTCTCTTAGCAACCTTTAAATACATAATACAGTACTGTTAACTATAGTTACTATGCTGTCGTTTACTTCCCCAGAACTTACTCATCTCACAGCTGGAAGTTTATACCCTTTGACCACCTTCACCCATTTTGTCCATTTCCCTATCCCCCACCCCTGAAACCAGTCTGCTCTCTGTTTCT